TTAAGTTTCTTGTTCTGAAAAAACGACTACGTATATAAAGAAAAAAGACGTAATATAATCCCCGCCCACCCACCTCATCTCAATTGTGATGATTTTTTTATTATTAGAAACTTAACACACATTTAAAATGGTAAATTTGTATAGAGAAATATCGATTTTGGAATTACGCTCCGCCCCTCGGTCTGACAACGAATGAAAAATTCATCACAATTGATATCGAGACGGATGGGTGGGTCTTCTCTTTTGGTTTTCTTTTTTGACTAATATACATATTACACGATTACATAAAAACATATTTGACATGGTAATTTTTCGTAGAAAAATAGGGATTTTACAATTTAGCTCCGGCCCTCGGCTCACGGCGAATAAAAAAGATCATCAGAATTGAGATAGGCTGGGTGGGCGGGGCTTATATTTTGCCATCTATTTTCTTAATATATATATCCATCTTTTCACAACAAGAAACTTGGTTAAAATAGTAAATTTTGCAAGGAAATATGAATTTCGCAATTATGGGGCGGAGTCTAATTACAAAATTGATGTTTCCTTATACAAATTTTCCATTTTAAACATGTTTTAAGTTTTATGTTGTGAAAAGAAGTCTACATATACTAAAACAAAAGAGTAAAATATAAGCTCCGCCCACCCGCCCTATCGCAATTGTGATGATTTTTTTTATTCTTAGAAACTCAACACACATTTAAAATGGTAAATTTGTATAGAGAAATATCGATTTTGGAATTACGCTCCGCCCCTCGGTCTGACAACGAATGAAAAATTCATCACATTTGAGATCGAGACGGATGGGTGGGTCTTCTCTTTTGGTTTTCTTTTTTGACTAATATATTACACGATTACATAAAAACATATTTGACATGGTAATTTCTCGTAGAAAAATAGGAATTTTACAATTTAGCTCCGGCCCTCGGCTCACGGCGAATAAAAAAGATCATCAGAATTGAGATAGGGTGGGTGGGCGGGGCTTATATTTTGCCTTCTGTTTTCTTAATATACTTAGCCATCTTTTCACAACAAGAAACTTGGTTAAAATAGTACATTTTTGCAAGGAAATAACGATTTTGCAATTATCGAACGGAGTGTAATTGTAAAGTCGATATTTCCTTATACAAATTTTCCATTTTAAACATGTTTGAAGTTTCATGTTGCGAAAAGAGGTCTACACATATTAAAACAAAAAGACAAAATGTAAGCCCCCCCACCCGCCCTATCTCAATTGTGATGATTTTTTTTATTCGCCGTTAACCAAGGGGGCGGAGCTTAACTGCAAAATAATTATTTCTTTACGAGAAATTAAAAACAGATATCGTGTTGTTTAAAGAATACCATGTATATTAAGAAAAAAAGGCAAAATATTAAACCCCAGCCACCCATCCCATCTCAATCGTGACGATTTTTTTTATTCTTAGAAACTCAACACACATTTAAAATGGTAAATTTGTATAGAGAAATATTGATTTTGCAATTACGCTCCGCCCCTCGGTTTGACAACGAATGAAAAATTCATCACGATTGAGATAGGGTGGGTGGGCGGGGCTTATATTTTGCCTTGTGTTTTCTTAATATACATAGCCATCTTTTCACAACAAGAAACTTGGTTAAAATAGTACATTTTGCAAGGAAATATGGATTTTGCAATTATGGAGTGGAGTCTAATTGCAAAGTCGATATTTCCTTATACAAATTGTCCATTTTAAACATGTTTTAAGTTCCATGTTGTGAAAAGAAGTCTACACATATTAAAACAAAAAGGCAAAATGTAAGCCCGCTCGCCCGCCTTATCTCAATTGTGATGAATTTTTTTTATTCGCCGTTAACCAAGGGGGCGAGCTTAACTGCAAATTGCTTATTTCTTTACGAGAAATTAAAAACAGGTGTCGTGTTGTTCAAAGAATACCATGTATATTAAGAAAAAAAGGCAAAATATAAACCCCGCCCACCCACCCCATCCCAATTGTGATGATTTTTTTTATTCTTAGAAACTCAACACACATTTAAAATGGGGTAAATTTGTATAGAGAAATATCGATTTTGCAATTACACTCCGCCCCTCGGTTTGACAACGAATAAAAAAAATCACCAGAATTGAGATAGGGTGGGTGGGCGGGGCTTATATTTTGCCTTCTGTTTTCTTAATATACATAGCCATCTTTTCACAACAAGAAACTTGGTTAAAATAGTACATTTTTGCAAGGAAATATGGTTTTTGCAATAATGGAGCGGAGTCTATTTTCAAAGTCGATATTTCCTTATACAAATTTTCCATTTTAAACATGTTTTAAGTTTCATGTTGTGACTAGAAGTCTACACATTTTAAAACAAAAAGGCAAAATCTAAGCCCGCCCACCCGCCCTATCTCAATTGTGATGATTTTTTTTATTCGCCGTTAACCAAGGGGGCGGAGCTTAGCTACAAAATACTTATTTCTTTACGAGAAATTACAAACATGTGTTTGAGTATCGTGTTGTTCGAAGAATACAATGTATGTATATTAAAAAAAAGGCAAAATATTAAACCCCACCCACCCACCCTATCTCAATGGTGATGATATTAAGAAAAAATCTACCATTTCGAACGTGTTTTAAGTTTCTAGAAATAAAAAAAAATCATCACGATTGAGATAGGGTGAGAGGGTGGGGTTTAATATTTTGCCTTTTTTTCTTAATATACGTAGTAAGTATTCTTTGAATAACACGATCCTCAAAACATGTCTTACATAGTAATTTTCGTAAAGAAATAATAAGGAAGGATTTTGGAATTAAATTCCGCTCCTTTGGCTCTTAAGTATTAAAAAGAACCATCACAATTGAGACAAGGTGGGTGGGCGGGGCTTATATTTTGCCTTTTTTCTTAATAACCGTAGTCGACTTTTCAGAACAAGAAACTTAAGACATATTTAAAATGGTAAATTCTTCTAGACAGATATGAATCTTGCAATTAAGCCCTGCCTCTCGATCCGGCAACGAATGAAAAATTTACCACTGAGAATTGGGATCTTTGGCTTTATTTTTTTTTTTATATACACAATATTCTTTGAACCACATGATACTCAAAAACATGTTTTTAATTTCTCGTCGAGAAATAAGGATTTTGCAGTTAAGCTCCGCCGTCTTGGCTCACGACGAATAAAAAAAATCATCAGAATTGAGATAGGGTGGGTGGGCGGGGCTCCATTTTGCGTTTTATTCTTAATATGTATAGACTTATTTTGACTTAAAATTAACTCTGTCGAATGCAATTTTCGCCGTTTTCTTCTACTTGATGATGTTTTCATTTGAACACTCGTTATAAGAAATTTTGCCACATTTTAAAATTGAAGTCTGTATAAAGTTGTTGAGTAACACCATCCGTTAGAATGTTTCCGAAGTACTAATCTTCAGAGTTCAGTGTTAAAAATAATGTTAAACGATTGCATTTTACCTTAAGATCAGCGGTTAGCACTTCCGTGTCAACGAGCAATAATTTTCGTCCAAATAAAAAAGTTAGTATGTAAAATTTTAATAGAGTTAACATGACGACGCATTTTCTTGATATCCAGCTTCCGTTTACAAAGACCAGAACTTGTTCTGTAACAATTAAATCGTCGTATAAATAACAATCATCCTGATAAATCCCCATTTTTTATTTCTTTTACTTATCGGTTACACTATTGTTGCTTATTATTCTTGAAGTCATCGATAAAGTACACACACACTTGCTTTATCAGATGAAAATTTTGGTTTCCTATTTATGTTGAATACGCATTATGAATTATCACTCGTGTGGGTATTATCTTTTTCACAATGTAGTTGTGATTTCGATGGACTCTTAACATTAGTGAGTTTGATTTAGATTGTGCATGATGATATTTAAAAAATGAAACGACGAGGGTTCAATCATTACGCTTACGTGAGTAATTTTTTGTATTTTAATTGGAATTTCAACCATCGGGGGGTGTTTACCCCGTGTCTAAATTTTTACTTTGATATAAGCTCTCTTTTATATTTTTTTTGAAGCGGTGGAGAAATGTCTGAAATTAGTAGAAAAATTTACGAATATCAAACGCGTTACTAGGGTGTGATTTTGAACCGCGAACATTCGAATCGGGCTAAGCATATGGCGACCGTCGCCATCTTGTTAGACGCAGTTGATAACTTAGCCAACACCCTTTCGAACCATTTGAATCAAATGCGTTGCAAATTTCTAGGTGGTGAAATTTTGACTCAAATTTGGTTTTTTGTTGTACCTTGTTGCGCAATTATACCCATACAATTTAATTACAAGAGTCTGGAGTGGTTAACACGGCGTAAATTTCCACGTAATTTTTATAATTAAATTATCTTGTCGCCACACAATAACAATGGTGCCAAGTCCAAGTGCCCTTTATCAGTTCTGATTGGTAGCAAGGTCTAACCGGGATGGTGGTGCACGAAGTTTTTATAACTAGTGGGTTTTGGCTTGAAGCCAATATTTCGTTTTTAAATTCAACGTCATATTCATTCGTCTTCCGTTAAGATCGTTAGATAAAATTGTCACAGTGCAATTAATTTTAATTCAAAAGTCGTTGATAGCATGATAAGACATAAAAGAGTAGAAGTACCAATTGAAATTGCAAAAATCAGTCGTCTCATAATTTTTATTTTTTGTAGTATCAGAAAACCAGTTTATGAAGCAGCAAATTTTTTTGTCATGCTTACTTAAATTTTTTTCCTGCTGTCATCCGTTATTATTTTTGACATATTTAGGTCACTCACAGTTCATACATTTTGACATTTGATGTTGGTTAATAGATAACTGATTAGAAATTGATTTTGAAATCCAGGAAGTCCACAGTGTTGTAACTATTCGACAGTAAGTTGCATGGCTGCCAACTAAGATTGTCAAAGTAGCTAACTTGATTCTCCATCTTGGTATCTACATGTTCGATGTTTTTTACCACTCTTTATGTGTTCCAACTGATTTCAACTAAACCTCCCTGTATAACTCTGCGTTGCAATATCCAGAATCACAATGCAAGAACCCTCCAGCACTCCCAAGCAGCAGCGTCACAGCATCGCTGGTTCTCCTCCAAATGTCGAATCCGGTCGCCGCCGACCGTCTTTCCTTCACCTCCACATCCCGGAAACAAACTGGAGAGGTTCTCTCACGCACTTGCATCTTCCGACATTCACTCTGACAACCCCCGAAGGTGATCAGAGTCGAAAGTTCAACTTCGGATTAGGCATCAGGCGGCATTCACACCACGTTAGTCGAAAGCGAATTGCATGCAGCCAGTACATAAAAAAAACTAACGCGAATGGCCTCCAAAATAACGTTGTTTTATTATGTTTATTCAGGCTAAAATTAAAACAATACCGCTAGAAAGTAGCCAAAAGAGCAGCGTATTTTCGTAGCGCTGGTTGTAAAATTCTTTCGAGTGTACTGAGTAAGGTTTGTTGCTGCATGAACTAGAATAACGCTAATTAGGCACTTTTTATTATTAACACTAACGTGATGGAGGTCTGTGTGCGTGAAGTTGACGGCACGAACTTGAAATGGTTTAAAGTGGGTGTTAGCAGATTAAAGTTAAACTGACTTACTAACAGTCCACGTTAAAACAGTTCAAAGTATTTACATACGGGGTATTTCAGATTTTTTCAGGCAGTCTGTCTGTCTGTCTGTCTGTCGGCTGTCAGAATTTTTATTAGATCGATAATTCCCCTGCCTGAACCAAAATCTAAGACACTCTGTATACTTTTCCACTTTCACGAACACAGCTACCCTCCAACTTGTCCTTGACGTGACTCGTTTCCTCCCCAGACGCTACACCGTAGCGAGTCCATGGTGTCTCTGTGCTTCCGCACTCTATCAGGCTTCATCAACGACGACAACCTCCCCGGACTCAAGCAACTCCTCGAGAGCAAGCAAGTGCAGGTGGACGACCGCGACGAAAATGGCTCGACCGCGCTCATCCTGGCCGCCACCAAGGGTCGCTCCGCTTTCGTGCGCGAGCTCTTGGCCCACGGCGCCGACGCCAACGCCGAAGACAGCGACTCCTGGACCGCGCTGCTATGCGCGGCGAAGGAAGGGCACGCGGACATCGTGCTCCAGCTCCTGGAGCACAACGCCGACATCGAGCACCGGGACATGGGGAACTGGACGGCGCTGATGTGGGCTACATACAAAGGTCGCGTCGACGTAGTGCAACTCCTCCTCGATAAAGGCGCTGAAGTTAACGCCCACGGGAACTACCACATTTCGTCGCTGATTTGGTCGGCGGGTCGTGGGTTTACTCAAATCACGGAAGCGTTGATCGCCCATGGTGCTAAGGTTAACGTGGGGGATAAGTATGGAACTACGGCGTTGGTGTGGGCGTCGAGGAAGGGGCACGCGGAAATAGCGGCCATGTTGTTGAAAGCCGGCGCCAACGTGGACACCGCCGGGATGTACTCCTGGACGGCTTTGTTAATGGCGACACAGGGTAATCACGTCGAGGTGGTCAATCTGCTCCTGGATTATAAACCTAATGTGAATGCGTTAGACAAGGATGGGTGCAGTGCGCTCACTATAGCGTGTAAAGAAGGCAATAATGAAATCGTCACGGCGCTTATGGCCGCTGGTGCTTATATTAACGTCCAAGTATGAGGGTTAATCCCCGAGTGTGTTTCCATTTTTAACCTTCCCCGTTTCAGGATCGATTCGGCGATACCAACCTAATTCATGCTGTCAAAGGCGGCCACCGCTCGTGCGTCGAGTCGCTCCTTAAAAAGTACGCCGATGTAGATATAGCAGGCAAAGATCAAAAAACCGCGATTTATATGGCAGTGGAGAAGGGTAACGCCTCCATCGTGAAACTTCTCCTAGGGGCAAACCCCGACCTAGAAATGGCCACCAAAGATGGCGATACCCCTCTTCTCAAAGCCGTGCGGTCCCGAAACGCCGAAATCGTCCAACTCTTGCTTGATAAAAAAGCCAAAGTTTCGGCGGCCGATAAAAAGGGCGACACGGCACTACACATTGCCATGAGGGCTCGTTCCAAAGGCATCGTCGAGATTTTGCTGCGTAACCCGAAACACAGCCAGTTGCTCTACAGGCCAAATCGTGCAGGGGAAACCCCCTACAATATCGATATCAACCACCAAAAGACGATTTTGGGCCAAATTTTTGGCGCCAGTAAGTTACAGTCAAAATTGTCACCCAGACCACACTAAATCGCGTTTCAGGGCGCCTCAACACCAACGAAGATAACGAGAACATGCTAGGCTACGACTTATACAGTAGTGCTCTTGCCGACATCCTCAGCGAACCCTCTCTGTCCATGCCTATTACCGTAGGGTTGTACGCGAAATGGGGCAGCGGAAAATCCTTCCTCCTTAACAAACTACGGGACGAAATGAAGAATTTCGCGCGCGAGTGGGTCGATCCCGTCTTCCAGTTCACCAGTTTGATGTTTCTGGTACTGCTGCATGTGGCGCTCATCGTCGGTACCATCGTGGGTCTGTCGGTGCAAAACTGGATCGTCGGCTTATCAGTCGCCGTAGCCTTCTTATCCATTTCCTATATTTTTCTCGCGTTGGTTTGGTTCGCCAATAAAAGGTACGACTGGGACTGGCCGTACAACTTCAACGTTAAGCTGACGCGCAAGTTGAATAATATTAAGTTGGTTTTGCAAGTTTTGTTTTGTCATCCGCCTGGAGCGCCGATTTATGATGGGGTTTCGGCGCACCCGATTAGGTGAGGGTGGGTTTTGCTATTCGTGGGTTAATGCGTTGTTGCAGGTTTTATTTTACGGATCAGACTAGGGTTAGTAGTACCGCTGGCGGTGAAAATTCGGTTGTGCAGATGATAGGGTCGCTGTATGACGCTATCGAGAGTGATTATGGAGCTTTAGCGACTAGGCTGTTTCGAGCTTTTAAACCTAAACCAGGTGAGTGTCACCGAGGTGTTAATTGAGTGTGTCATGAGTGTGTTGCAGTGAAGTCTTCGTCGACGTGGAAACTAAGGAAGCTGTGTTGTCTCCCTTACGTGGTGATTTTTGAAATTATTTTTCTTTGTGTGTTAGTTGGAACTTGTGCCTTGACTGTTTACTTAGTCCATGTCAATTCTCCTGACGATAATCTGTAAGTACCCGACGATACAATCTAAGTACGTACTTGAAACACATAATGAGAAAAATTTCCATTGAATACAGTTTGCTAGAGAAGTTGAACAATACGTGCGTTTTTAAAAAGATAATAGGACACACCGACTACCGACAGAGGTGACGTTGAGATTGCAAAAGTCTAAAAACGTAGTTGATAATAAGTGTCCGATTAAATTGTATCGATGCTTGGGTTGAATCTGGTTCGATATTATCAGATGATTGTTTAAAACAAATCGTCGAAATCAGTGCAATTATTTCTTTATCATCATGACGCACATTTTGAATTTTTGGTTAACGAAAACAAATCGCGATTAGGATCAAGTTTTTTATATAAAGCGTTCAGGATGTTTTTAGTAAAAGTGAACCATGAAGTTTTCTTCAGGTTGGATGAACTGATTCATTCTGTGACTTAAATATTTGTTGATTAAAAAATATCTCCGAATTTTTCGAGAATTTTTAAATAACTTGTTTTGGGACACGCCGATTTTACAATTAAGCTCCGCCCTCGGTCTGACAACGAATGAAAAATTCATCACATTTGAGATTGGGGTGGGTGGGCGGGGCCTAATTTTTTACTTCTTTTTTCTTGACATATATGGTTTTAACATGATACTTAAAAACATATTTCACATGCTAGTTTCTCGTTGGGAAATAAGGATTTTGCAATTAAGCTCCGCCTCTCGGCTCACGATGAATAAAAACAGTTATCACAATTGAGAAGAGGGCAGGTGGGCGGCGTTTAAAAGGGTAAATTTGTAGAGAAGTGTGGGGGATAAAATTTAACATTTTAAACATGTTTTCAGTTTTTTGTTGGGAGGGACGACTATATATTAACAAAAAAAAAACTGCAAAATATGTATAAAATATGTAAATTTCGGTCCATTTTCGACCATTTTCGAAATTTAACTGAATACATTTTCTCGTAGGGTCACTTTCGGCCTCATTTCTCCAATAACTTCAAGCGTTTTTTTTTTCCAGAATCGCCATTATCGAAATTTTTAGAAATTTCAAAAATTTCGTATTTCAGACATATTTCCAAAATAATGCTCCGTGACCATCAACAGGCTATATTTTTATAATCCGCACGCCGAGATCTACATTTCTGCAAGTTTTTCAAAAAATAAATTTTCTACTATGTATTTTCCTTACGAAAAATTTTCTGGTAGATTTTGGTCTACAGAATTCTATTTCGGCCTCATTGCTTCGATTACTGAACAGTTTTTCCAGAATCGTTCATTGAAATATCGAAACTTTTAGAAATTTTCAAAATTTCGTATTTCACACCAGAATTTTGCTCTGAGGCCATAAGCAAGCTATATTTTTAGAATCAGCACGTCGAGATCTATACCTCTGATTTTTCTGAAAATTTTTAAATAACTTATTCAAATTTCGGCTTTTTTTCAAAATTTAACTAAGTACATTTTCGCGTAGATTTTGGCTCCCAAAAATCACTTCCGGCCTCATTTATTCGGTTACTTGAATTGTTTTTCCAGAATCGGCCTTTGAAATATAGAAATTTTTAGAAATTTAAAAAATTTCGTATTTCAGACATATTTCCAAAATAATGCCCCGTGACCGTCAACAAGCTATATTTTTATAATCCGCACGCCGAGATCTACATTTCTGCAAGTTTTTCAAAAAATAAATTTTCTACTATGTATTTTCCTTACGAAAAATTTTCTGGTAGATTTTGGTCTACAGAATTCTATTTCGGCCTCATTGCTTCGATTACTGAACAGTTTTTCCAGAATCGTTCATTGAAATATCGAAACTTTTAGAAATTTTCAAAATTTCGTATTTCACACCAGAATTTTGCTCTGAGGCCATAAGCAAGCTATATTTTTAGAATCAGCACGTCGAGATCTATACCTCTGATTTTTCTGAAAATTTTTAAATAACTTATTCAAATTTCGGCTTTTTTTCAAAATTTAACTAAGTACATTTTCTCGTAGATTTTGGCTCCCAAAAATCACTTCCGGCCTCATTTATTCGGTTACTTGAATTGTTTTTCCAGAATCGGCCTTTGAAACATAGAAATTTTTAGAAATTTAAAAAATTTCGTATTTCAGACATATTTCCAAAATAATGCCCCGTGACCGTCAACAAGCTATATTTTTATAGTCCGCACGTCGAGATTTATACCTCGGAATTTTTTTGAGAATTTTTAAACTACTTTTGAAAAATGAAATTTTTTACTATGTATAACTTCCGTATGGAAATTTTGGCCCATCTGCGACCATTTTTGAATTTTAACTAATACATTTTGTCGTAGATTTTGGGTCGGAAAAGTCACTTCTGGTTTCATTTCTTCGATTACTCGAACTGTTTTTCCAGAATCGCCCATTGAAGTATCGAAATTTTTAGAAATTTAAAAATTTCGAATTTCACATCGAATATTTCCGAAATATTGTTCTGTGGCCATAAACAGGCTACATTTTTAGAATCAGCACGTCGAGACCTATACCTCTGATTTTTCTGAAAATTTTTAAATAACTTTTTCAAAACTGAAATTTTCCACTATGTATAACTCCCATACGGAAATTTTGGCCCATCTGCGACCATTTTTGAAATTTGACTAATACATTTTCTTGCTGATTTTGGATCGGAAAATTCACTTCCGGTCTCATTTCTTCGATTACTCGAACTGTTTTTCCAGAATCGGCCCTTGAAATATCGAAATTTTTAGAAATTCAAAAAATTTCGTATTTCACACCGAATATTTCCACAATATTGTTCTGGGACCATCAACAGGCTTAATTTTTAGTATCAGCACTTCGAGATCTATACCTTTGATTTTTTTGAAAATTTTTAAATAACTTATTCAAATTTCGGCCTTTTTTCGAAATTTAACAAAGTACATTTTCTCATAGATTTTGGCTCCCTGAAAGCACTTCCCACCTCTTTTCTTCGGTTACTTGAACTGTTTTTCCAGAGTCGGCCATTGAAATATAGAAATTTTTAGAAATTTGAAAAATTCGAATTTCAGACATATTTCCAAAATAATGCTCCGTGACCATCAACAGGCTATATTTTTATAATCCGCACGTCGAGATTTATACCTCAGAATTTTTTGGGAATTTTTAAACTACTTTTGAAAAATGAAATTTTTTACTATGTATAACTTCCGTATGGAAATTTTGGCCCATCTGCGACCATTTTTGAATTTTAACTAATACATTTTGTCGTAGATTTTGGGTCGGAAAAGTCACTTCTGGTTTCATTTCTTCGATTACTCGAACTGTTTTTCCAGAATCGCCCAGTGAAGTATCGAAATTTTTAGAAATTCAAAAATTTCGAATTTCACATCGAATATTTCCGAAATATTGTTCTGTGGCCATAAACAGGCTACATTTTTAGAATCAGCACGTCGAGACCTATACCTCTGACTTTTCTGAAAATTTTTAAATAACTTTTTCAAAACTGAAATTTTCCACTATGTATAACTCCCATACGGAAATTTTGGCCCATCTGCGACCATTTTTGAAATTTGACTAATACATTTTCTTGTTGATTTTGGATCGGAAAATTCATTTCCGGTCTCATTTCTTCGGTTACTCGAACTGTTTTTCCAGAATCGGCCCTTGAAATATCGAAATTTTTAGAAATTCAAAAAATTTCGTATTTCACACCGAATATTTCCACAATATTGTTCTGGGACCATCAACAGGCTTAATTTTTAGTATCAGCACTTCGAGATCTATACCTCGGAAGTTTTTGAGGATTTTTAAACAACTTTTTCAAAAATTAAATTTTCCACTATGTAGGAGTATAACTCCCTTACGGAAATTTTGGCCCATCAACGAGCATTTTTGAAATTTGACTAGTACATTTTCTTGTAGATTTTGGATCGGAAAAATGACTTCCGGTCTCATTTCTTCGATTATTTGAAACATTTTTCCAGAATCGGCCATTGAATTATCAAAATTTTTAGAAATTCCAAAAATTTCGTGTTTCACACCGAATATTTCCACAATATTGTTCTTGGACCATCAACAGGCTTAATTTTGAGTATCAGCACTTCGAGATCTATATCTCTGATTGCTTTGAAAATTTTTAAATAACGTTTTCAAAAATGAAATTTTCCACTATGTATAACTCCCTTATGGAAATTTTGGCCCATCTGGGACCATTTTTGAAATTTGACTAATAGATTTTCTTGTAAATTTTGGATCGGAAAAATCACTTCCGGACTCATTTCTTCGATTACTCGAACTGTTTTTCCAGAATCGGCCATTGAAATATCGAAATTTTTAGAAATTCCAAAAAATTTTTATTTCACGCCGAATATTTCCAAAATATTGCTCTGAGGCCATAAGCAAGCTATATTTTTAGAATCAGCACGTCGATATCTATACCTAGGATTTTTTTGAGGATTTTTAAACAACTTTTTCAAAAATGAAATTTTCCAATATGTACGAGTATAACTCCCTCACGGAAATTTTGACCCATCTGCGACCATTTTTGAAATTTGACTAATACATTTTCTTGTAGATTTTGGATCGGAAAATTCACTTCCGGTCTCATTTCTTCGATTACTCAAATTGTTTTTTTTTCCAGAATCGGGCATTGAAATATCGAAATTTTTAGAAATACAAAAATTTCAAATTTCACACCGAATATTTCCAAAATATTGTTCTGTGGCCATAAACAGGCTATATTTTTAGAATCAGCACGTCGAGATCTATACCTCTGATTTTTTTTGAAAATTTTTAAACAACTTTTTGAAAAATAAAATTTTTCACTATGTATATACCTTATTCAAATTTTGGCCCATTTTCGAAATTTAACTAAATGCATTTTCTCGTAGATTTTGGGTCCCAGAAGTCACTTCCGTTACTTGAACTGTTTTTCCAACATCTCCCATTGAAATATGGAAATTTTTAGAAATTTCATAAATTTCGTATTTCGTACCGAATATTTCCAAAATATTGCTCCGTGGCCATAAACGGGCTGTATTTTTAGAATTAGCGCGTCGAGATCGGAATTTTTTGAGAATTTTTAAACAACTTTTTAAAAGATGAAATTTTCCACCATGTATTCCCCTTATGAAAATTTTGAAGAGGTACTAGCCCCGCCCTCCCGCCGTCTCTTTTCTTACAGTGTATCTCATTTGCAAAAATCACTCTTATCGTAGCAGGTATAAGCCCCGCCCACCCACCCTCCCTTTCCTTAGAGGGTATATGATTTGCTAAAATCGGTCTTATTTTAGCAGGTACTAGCCCCGCCCACCCACCCTCTCTTTTTTTAAAGGATATGCCATTTGCCAAATTCAGTTTTATCTTAGCATCCGTTATGCAAATTTCGGCCAATTTTCGACCATTTTCAACATTTAACTAATTACATTTTCCATAGATTTAAAGGAATCCGGTGTTTTGTTGCCATTTGCCAAAATCGGTGTTATTTTAGCAGGTACTAGCCCCGCCCACCCGCCCTCACATTTCTTAGAGGTTATCTCATTAGCCAAAATCAGTCTTATCTTAGCAGCAGCCCATATTTGACCATTTTCGAAATTAAACTAATACATTTTCTGGTAGATTTTGGATCCCAGAAGTCACTTCCGGCTTCATTTCTTCGTTTACCCGAATTGTTTTTTCACCATCGCCCATTGAAATTTAGAAATTTTTAGAAATTTGAAAAATTTCGTATTTCATACCGAATATTTCCAACAATTGGTCTGTGGCTACAAACAAACTATATTTTTAGAATCAGCATGTCGAGATTTATATCTCTGATTTTTTTGAGAATTTTGAAACAACTTTTTCAAAAATGAAAATTTCCACGATTACAAATTTGTCTGGATATTTTGAAAAACTTATTTTGGTATACTGGAAAAAACATGGGAAATTTTTCGAAATTTCTTCTGTCATTATTTCATTAGGTGAATCTGATTCAAAGTCAGAATCAGAGGGCGATGATGATGGCTCAAATTTTTCTAGTGAAATAATGACAATGGAATAAAATACTGAATTTTAATTTCAAAAATTCTTTAATCGTACTTATTAGAGTGTAAAATATAAAGTGTGAAAGTACTGGCAACAATATTACAGTTTTTGTCAGATTTTCTAACCTTACATTAAAAAGAACTTAACCTAATATGACAAATTTCATTTTTCATTAGGGATACGAAATTAGTTGGCCCTTCCTTTGTCTAAAAACATCCTGAACGGTATATAGGGTTATGAAGAGGTCACAGATTGTTTCAAGGGAGGTTTGATCGTTTTTTTTTTCAGCGACGTGATACGTGTCACCCTTCAAATTATTCTCGGCACGGACGCCCTTCTCCTGAGTGTGGCCACTGTGGCTAATGTCTATACTTGGAGCAGACTGATCAAGTCGGTCCTTTTTTCGCAACGACGCCACCTGCAACGAACTATCGCCAAACTCGAGATCCTCAAGTCGGAGGGATTTTTACAAGCTCTTAGACAAGAGGTACCCCAGTCACCCTTGCACTACCAACCCTTAATCGCCTCATTCCAGGTCAATTTAATGAAAGACATGGTAAAGTGTTTAGATAGCTTGAGTTCCCAGCAAACTCGCCTAGTCATAATCGTCGACGGCTTGGATAGTTGCGAGCAAGACAAAGTACTCCTCATTCTAGACACAGTCCACATGTTATTCTCAGACGCCAATAGCCCCTTCATTGTGATATTAGCAATAGACCCCCACGTTATAGCAAAGGTAAGTATTCAAGTAAACGCTTCTCCAACCCCCAAGTTTTCATTTTTAACGCTTTTGTTTATATTATACAGGTGGCTTGGGAGCAGGTCAGTCACTCAAACGGGGTTCGGTTTTTGTTATTTTCTTAATCTCTGTCGTTGTTGTTTAGTCGTTGTATAACTGTAGCTTCGATTGTGTACCCGCATGTGCGACTCAGTTCTCACCCGATTTACAATTGTAGGCCGTGGAAATGAACACTAGACGCTTATTCAGCGAAAGCAACATAGGAGGCCACAATTACTTAAGCAATATGGTGCACTTACCGTTCTATTTGCAAAATTCGGGCCTGCGCAAAGTTAAGCTGGCTCAACAAACGGCGCAGGCGCACAGAAAATCCGCTTTAGCATGGACCGAGAACGAAGAGACTTTGGGTAACTTTTTGGCGCGATCGGTAAGAGAGTTTGCTTTGTTAACAACGACTCAAGGTGGGTTTGCAGTCGTCGAGTCGCCGATTGTCCAACGAGAGCGCTTTAATGTCAAGCCAGGAGAAACTCAAACCTCCAGGGAGGAAGAACTCTAGAAAGTTGAAGATGTCTGAGTCGGTTGCCAGCTCAATCGGCTCTAATTTGAATAAAATCGGAGGTGCTCAAGACTTGACGAAGATGCTACTCACTGATGACTATTTCAGCGACGTTAACCCGCGGTCGATGCGCCGGTTGATGAACGTGGTGTACATCACCGGGAGGTTGTTGAAGGCGTTCCAGATTGATTTTAATTGGTATAGGTTAGCGTCGTGGATTAATATTACCGAGCAGTGGCCATTCCGTACCTCTTGGATTATCTATCATTACGAATTGTACGAAGACTCGCTTGAAGACAATACTTCGCTTAAGTTAATATTCGATAAGTAAGGGTTTGAAAAGTGTGTGGAGGTGGTTGTAAGTGGATTTGTTGCAGGATTCGCCCCCACATTCCTACGGTTAAAGATACTGAACCTCTGTTGGAGCTCGACAGGGATGAGAAAAAGTTTGATATTTTCTTGACTTTTCATAGGTCGAGTTTGTTGGTTAGTGATTTGAAGATATTTTTGCCGTTTACTATTAATTTGGATCCGTATTTGAAGAAAGTGATTAAAGGTATGTAGATGGTTAAATGCTACAAAAATTTTGCTAATTGTAATTTGATGATGTCATTTCAATGAACCATAAAAATATACTCCTATAACTGTAGTGTACGAATCCGCTTTCAGTTTTTTCGCTAAACGTTCAAATTTTCGGAAAAATATTTGCAAGGTATAATAACGTTACATTACCAACACGGGTATATTTATTTTTTAAAAATAATAATTGCGTGTTACATGATTATTTTTTTTATTAACACAAATTAGTTTTGTAATCGAATGTGAATGAATACTGCTTATTTTTTAAATTTAACAAAATAGTTCCTTCTTTTGCACCTGGAGAGAGGGTGTTTAGCAGCGGAAAACAACTTCTTACACCAAGAAAAAATTATTTAGGCGACAACACATTTGAAATATTATTAATTTTAAAAGATTCATTAAAAAATAAATAAAAATGTGTTATCAGTTGTTTTGTTGCCCAAAGTTTTAAAAAATATCTGCTTTTTTATGTTATCTAGATACATTTTGAAAAAATTGAAAATGTGTATCTAGATAATCTTATTTTCCATATATCTGTATCTGTATCTAGATAATTTTAAAAGTATCTGTCCTCTACACTTGCTGTGACTACTTTTCTATTGTGCTGTGACCAGTATTATCCATGTTGATGACGTCATCACAAATCTTGTATTGGTCAAATTAAGAACGACCCCCCCCCCATTTTCTCGAACATGTGAAGAATATATATAATGATGATAAAATAAGAATTATAATGTTCATAACATTTTGGTCGATTGTGGTTTAAATTAATAATTTTAGTCCTCTAATTCCTACGTGACATTTTTTCGAAGTATAAACTTAAAAACTTGAGCGTCAGATGGCTATTACGTAGTGCTGAAAGACAAGGCTTGTTATTTATGCATCTGGTTTTTACCTTACAGCGGTTATCACAAAACGAAAATCGTAAAATCAAATTTTATAATTTTTTTAATCAACTGGATTTGTCGGATTATGCTCATAGCCTACGACCAATTTTTTATTTATCAAATTAAGAACCTCATTTTTTAGATTTGCTTATACAGGTTGACTCAAAAAAAAAATAAATCAGTCGATTTATTTTACTGAATCAACCAAGAATTGCGAAACTGAATACTTGCAGACGTTTTAAAGTTATAGTAAACATGATAAATTGTTAATCAAAATCTATCTGTTTATTCCCCCCAAAAAATTGATGACGCCATTTCAAAATAAATGCTACACAAAATGTGCAAAATATGAACGGTTTTTACTTGTGATTTATCGTTGCATCGTTGCATTCATATTTGTTCCTTTTCGGGGATCCCAATTGTTTTTGTTAAAAATATAAAACCTTCTCGGGGGCGCCAAATGTTTTTTTTTTTTTAGAAATCTCGGGGATCCCAACTGTCTTTTTAAAAATGAAAACCATCTCTTTTCTTTAATGTTAAACGTTGTCGGGGGTTATAACTGATGTATTTTTTAAAAATGTAAAACCTTCTCGAGTGTCCCAATAGTTTTTTTTTAATGTGAAACCTTGTCTGGGATCCCAATAGTTTTTTTAAATATATATATATAAAACCTTCGCGGGGGTCCTAGTTGTTTTTTTTTAATGTAAAACCTCGGGGGCCCCAAATATATTTTTTTTTAATGTCAAACCTTCTCGGGGGGTCCCAATTGTTTTTTTTTAATGTATAACCTTCTCGGGGACCCCAAATGTATTTTTTTTAATTGTGAAACCTTCTCGGGGGTCCCAGTTGCCTTTTTTTTTAATGTGAAACCTTGTCGGGAGTGCCAAAAGTTTTAGACTGTGAAACTTTCTCGGGGGTCCTAACCATCTTTTTTAAAAATGTAAAACCTTCTCGGGGGTCCTAATTGTTTTTTTTTTTAATGTAAAACCTTCTCGGGGGCCTCAATTGTCTTTTTTTTTTAATGTGAAACCTTCTCGGGGGTCCCAATTGTCTATTTTAAATATATGTGTAAAACCTCCTCGGGGGTCTCAGTTGGTTTTTTTTTTTCAAATGTAAAACCTTCTCGGGGGGTCCCAATTGTGTTTTTTTTTAATGTAAAACCTTCTCGGGGACTCCAAATGTTTTTTTAAATGTGAAATCTTCTCGGGGGTCCCAGTTGCCTTTTTTTTAATGTGAAACCTTGTCGGGAGTGCCAAATGTCTTCTTTTAGACTGTGAAACTTTCTCGGGGGTCCTAACCATCTTTTTTAAAAATGTAAAACCTTCTCGGGGGTCCCAATAGTTTTTTTTTAATGTAAAACCTCGAGGGCCGCAAATGTCTTTTTTTTTAATGTGAACCCTTTTCAGGGGTCCCAATTGCCTTTTTAAAAAATGGAAAACCTCGGGGGTCCCAATTGTGTTTTTTTTTTATGTAAAACCTTCTCGGGAGTGCCAAATGTCTTCTTTTAGACTGTGAAACTTTCTCGGAGGTCCTAACTATCTTTTTTAAAAATGTAAAACCTTCTCGGGTGTCCCAGTTGCCTTTTTTTTTTAAATGTAAAACCTTCTCGGGGGCCCCAAATATGTTTTTTTAATGTATAACCTTCTCGGGGGTCCCAATTGCCTTTTTTTTAATGTGAAACCTTGTCGGGGTTCCCAATTGTCTTTTTTAAATATATATGTAAAACCTTCTCGGGGGTCCCAGTTGTTTTTTTTTTTAATGTAAAACATTCTCGGGGGCCCCAAATCTTTTTTTTAATGTAAAACCTTCTCGGGGGCTCCAAATATCTTTTTTTTTAATGTGAAACCTTCTCGGGGTACCAGTTGGTTTTTTTAAAAATGTGAAACCTTCTCGGGGGCCCCAAATATTTTTTTTTTAAAGTGAACCCTTCTTGGGGGTCCCAATTGTCTTTTTTAAATATATATGTAAAACCTTCTCGGGGGTCCCATTTGTTTTTTTTTTTTAATGTAAAACCTTCTCGAAGGCCCCAAATCTTTTTAATGTGAAACATTCTCGGGGGCCCCAAATGTCTTTTTTTTAATGTGAAACCTTTTCGGGGGTCCCAATTGCCTTTTTAAAAAATGGAAAACCTTCTCGGGGGTCCCAATTGTGTTTTTTTTTTTTTTAATGTAAAACCTTCTCGAGGGTGCCAAATGTGTTCTTTTAGACACGAGGCGTTCCATGTAAGGCTTGAAGTGCAAGCGAGAAAATCTAACTTGATCAATTTCATTGTGATTTCTAATTACCTCCTTCTCTATATACATACAAATCTATTAAACAAATGAAATTAAAATTTTCTTTTGAAAAATGCTACCATTCCATCAGTATTTTCTTAAGACGTTGTCACGTTCAACTATCGTCAGTAAACCGACTTTACAGACAACCGATTTTTTTTTTTTTAAAGTGAACCCTTCTTGGGGGTCCCAATTGTCTTTTTTAAATATATATGTAAAACCTTCTCGGGTGTCCCAGTTGCCTTTTTTTTAATGTAAAACCTTCTCGGAGGCCCCAAATATGTTTTTTTAATGTATAACCTTCTCGGGGACCCCAAATATATATTTTTTAATTGTGAAACCTTCTCGGGGGTCCCAATTGCCTTTTTTTTTAATGTGAAACCTTGTCGGGGGTCCCAATTGTCTTTTTTAAATATATATGTAAAACCTTCTCGGGGGTCCCAGTTGTTTTTTTTTTTAATGTAAAACATTCTCGGGGGTCCCAAATCTTTTTTTTAATGTGAAACCTTCTCGGGGTCCCAATTTTCTTTTTTAAATATATATGTAAAACCTTCTCGGGGGCTCCAAATATCTTTTTTTTAATGTGAAACCTTCTCGGGGGTACCAGTTGGTTTTTTTAAAAATGTGAAACCTTCTCGGGGGCCCCAAATATCTTTTTTTTAAAGTGAACCCTTCTTGGGGGTCCCAATTGTCTTTTTTAAATATATATGTAAAACCTTCTCGGGGGTCCCATTTGGTTTTTTTTTTAATGTAAAACCTGGAAGGCCCCAAATCTTTTTAATGTGAAACTTTCTCGGGGGCCCCAAATGTATTTTTTTTAATGTGAAACCTTTTCGGGGGTCCCAATTGCCTTTTTAAAAAATAGAAAACCTCGGGGGTCCCAATTGTGTTTTTTTTTTAATGTATAACCTTGTCGAGGGTGCCAAATGTGTTCTTTTAGACTGTGAAACTTTCTCGGAGGTCCTAATTTTTTTTTCTTTAATGTAAAACCTTCTCGGGGGCCTGAACAGTTTTTTTTTAATGTGAAACCTTCTCGGGGGTCCCAATTCTTGTTTTTAAATATATATGTATAACCTTCTCGGTGGTCTCAGTTGTTTTTTTTTTTCAAAAATAAAACCTCGGGGGCCCCAAATATCTTTTTTTAATGTGAAACCTTCTCGGGGGGGGGGGGGGGGCAATTGTTTTTTTTTTGGGACCTCAAATGTCTTTTTTTAATTGTGAAACCTTCTCGGCGGTCCCAATTGTCTTTTTTTTTTTAATGTGAAACCTTGTCTGGGATCCCAATAGTTTTTTTTAATATATATATAACACCTTCTCTGGGGCCCCAAATGTCTTTTTTTTAACGTGAAACCTTCTCGGGGGTTCCAACTGTCTTTTTTAAAAATGTAAAACCTTCTCGGGGGTCCCAATTGTTTTTTTTTTAAGTGTAAAACTTTTTCGGGATCGCCAATTTTTCAGTCCGACTACTACCTTCTGTTGTGTTTATTCCATAGAATAAAAAAGTAAAATTCCGCAAAATCAAATTTTGTAATTTTTCAGAAAAGCAGTATTTCAGAATCGAGGGAAGTTCTGTCTAAATAACTTTCGACCATTTTTGTTAAGTTTGTTTAGTGTTGTTTGTAGACAAGCTAACTCAGACTAACTATAAACGTCGTTGTAATGAAAGTTTTGGTTGCAGAAAACCGCTCCTTATTGTCAATAACCAAAAGAATATGGTCGACGGCGAATTTGTGAGAGTTACAGATTCCAGCAGAAAAAAATGATCTCAATATATCTGCGACCTTAATAAATTTTCTCCCTTTTTTGTAACACATTTGCGATATTTTTTTGGAGCCTAAATTAATTAACACATTGTCTCCAGTAAGAGTTTGCACCAAATTTGAGAAACTTTTGGTTGATATTTGGAAAAATTCTCACCAGCTGCGCCAAAATTGCAGCCAAGAAAAAAATTGTCTCGAAAATGCCAATGTTATCTTTGTGGACTAAAACTTTGGAAAACTGGCCAAGAAATTGAAACTTATGACCCTGTTTTATGACCTGTCTGTTCGGTATAACAACATTTCTTTAAATAAAAGCGTGATAAAAACGATGCTAACTTTGTCCCTATTGTAGAAGAAACTCAGTCCTTGGATGACGACGGGTTGCTAATGACCACACCACGGAACATCTCCGTGGTTCCTACCATGCCGTGGACCAACACCACCAACCCAGAATGGGCGTCACCCCGTCCTGGTCTGAGCCGGCGCAACCGAAACGCAGCATCCAAAACCATGTACCAACCACCCACACTCGTGGGTTGGCCAAACTGGAACGAAGCCCCCGTGCAAGTTACCAACCCACAAATGGTACCGTTGGCACCCGTAACATCGCTTGCCGTAAGTTAACCCGAAACCACAAACAAACCGTGTTAAAGCCACTTTCCACAGCCCGAAGTATTCGAAAAACGCTTATCCTCGCTAAGTGTAGACGGCGTCTGCAAATTATTATACAAAATCGAAGAAATCAACTCCGCTGCATTACCCGAATATAGTAAAGTGATCAAGGAACACAACATCACTGGGAAAGTTCTCCTTCACTGTGATTTAGATGAGTTGAAAAAAGTACGTCAACAGTTTAGAGCGACAAAGACACTCACGGTTTCGTTTGTAGCTACTCAAGATGTCATTCGGCGACTGGGAAATGTTCAAAGTGATGTTGATTTCCTTGCGGGAGCACGAAGTCAGCGCTGTGTTCCGCCAGGAGGAAACCCCAATCCGCGCACCGAAGCCTGAACGCAAAACTAGCACCTCTAAAAGCGCTCCACCTGAGAAAGAAACCAAGGAGTTGAATCAGCGGAAGCAGAGCGTCATGGAAAAACAGGTAAGTGCGCGCCTTCACGTAGTGCTTGTCTGCTAACTCAGTTTGTAATGCTTGCGTGTGGTGTAGTATCAGGTGAGTGTGGCTTGCGGATGTTTTTGTAAGTGTGTACTGACTGGTTGTTGTTTAGGTGACCCTGGAAGAGCAGATGATTTGTGGCGCTCTGCAGACGCTGAACGAGGAGGCTTGTGAAGACGTGTTGGAAGAAACCGAAGAGAAGGAGACGAAGATCACCATCGAGCCCGACGTTCCGCAAACTTCGGTCATTCCTCCGAGTCCAGACTCGAATCAAGGTGAATCTCACATTGCACGCAAACGAAGCACAGACCGAGCTAAGAGAGTCAGCATTGACGAGAGCGTAACGAAGCACGGTTACGATAGCAGTGCGGCGCTAAATAAAAACAAAAGTACTAACAGTGAGGTGCCTGCTAGGAAAATTAGCGGGAGTGGGTTGAAGAGGGATTAGATTGTCAAAGCAATAAATTAACAGTATTATTTTCACCCATTCTTCCTTTTATACTTTTATTCTAGTCTTTACTTATCTTTTTATATGCAGTTATTGAATTCACGTGCATGTCTGTGCCATACTGTATCCACTTTTAGTTTATATGTACACCTAGCACTATTTATTTTATTTTGTAGTTCCTGTGATTATTACACAATAAAGTATTGATTACTCTGCATGTGTTTGTTTTCTCGTTAGTCTGTACATATTCGTGTGAATTCAATAGCTGTATATAGCTTGGCTGTGGTGGTTTGACCTTGGGTGATTCGTCGGCCAATCAAAGTATCGCTTTTGTGACGTACTCAACGTCTGCTTAGTTGCTTCTTTTGTTTAGATTACCCGAGAGGCTACCGTTCTCGCACGAACAGCTCGAGCGGCGTAGGTGAGACCGAGTTTGTTTTATTGCAATCCTCACCAATAGGTCATATGCATTGGCAACCTATCAGTATATCAGTCGGAGGCACTTCCGAGAGCTTAAGCGAGCATAGTTCGAGATGTAGTTCCCAACTACCGTCACCGGGTAAGCCTCACTACTCGTAGTTGCACCCCCCCACCACGCTCCAACCGCTCACTTACGCTACAATTTACAGTTGCAGAACGCCGCCTGTCAAACGGAATCAAACTATCCAACTTGAAACCCACCAATCAAATCGACGACCTGTCAAAAAAAGGCCGCCATGTTGTGATCAAAACGGAGTGCGGCGATTCGTCGCACATCAGCGTGATGTACAACGCGAGCGAGACCAAAACACCACTGCTACAAGAGTTTAATTCGCAGCGACCCACGACTTTACATTTACTCAAAAACGAGAAAGCGAGTAAGCCGCTCATGCGCAATCGATCCAAGTCGATCGATAGTCAGAAGAAAAAGAATGACAAGAATTTCGAGAAACTACAAAGACTGAAAGAGAAGCTTTTGCATTCAAGTCCTGAGTTGAACGAGAATGCTAGTGATAATGAAAGTACTCCGTTGGTGTCTGAAGTATCGACGCCGTCGAAGTCTGGTCAAAGTTCCGAGTTGAAGTCTTCGAATTCCAATAGTTTTCCTTTATCGCCGACGTCGCAGAAGAGTCTCTCCCCGGAGTTCAAGCATAGACAGACTCGAAGCGAGCAGAACCTCACCGACACGACGGACGTAAGTCCGGTTTTGTCGTTCCCGGAAAGTATTTACTTAAGCAATATAGCACCCAGTAGTGGGGGTAATAGCTTATCGCCGAAAGCACCCACTCTGACGAGAACCGTCTCCGAATGCACTTCCATCTCGGGAATGATAAGCTCGTGCAGCAACGTTAGTCTCCCCAGTAGCAAAAACTCACACAGCTCGGGACAACTATCCAGACAGAACGCGCTCGACTTTGAAGAAATTCTTGCCGATTGTTATTGTGATCCTAGCAGAGGAGGGTAAGAAAGTCCCACTGAGTACTTATATTTTTTTAATTGTGAACAGTATTCCTTTCTAATAGAGCAATAGATCTATTTATATTTTATGACTGTTAGATTTCCTCATTAAAGATCTGTTGATCGCACTTGTTTTTCTAATCCTACAGCCAGTCGCTACTAATCAGTGGTTTTTCTTCAACAATACCAAGTTCTTTCTTTCTCCTGTCACAAGTCCGGTTTGAATTTCGGCCGCACGTATGGAGGGGGGTTAGGTCGGCAGTGCACGCCACGATTTATCGTGGACTGAGGGCTGTTAGTGTGACTCCTGGACAGTAGCATGGGGTCGGGCGATAACGTCATTTCCCGGTTGTTCGACAAGCTCCGCAGAGACTGAGTGGCCCGATGAATCGTAGCGTATTGGTTGATTTCAGTGGAGGGGGCGTCCTCCAGGCGTTTAGATCTGTCAAATGGGAGTCACGTGATATAAACGTCATAACATAGACGTGAGTCAACAGAGACAACACAAATTGATACAGCACTGTTGACTCACAATTTTTGTATAAAAATAACAAAGTATAATTAAAATATTAGTAGGTATAAACTCTCCACTCATTCATTATGAAAACAGGTTCAAACCAATTACCTGTAATAATCGATACAAATGTGATATAAGTTATAGAAAAACACCTCGCTTTCTGGATCTTTTCTGTAATTATTTCAAGGTGCTTGAGTGATTTTTAAAAAGTGTAAAGAAACGTCAATACTTACATTCCCTCGTGGTGGAAGCACAGTATTATGGAAAGAACCAAAGCCAATAAGATCATGACAAACATGGGTACCAATATTGTGAAAAGAAACTCGTGAAGGTAGCTTCTTTGGGGCACTTCACTCTTCATAACCGTTTCCCACTTGTCTTCATAGTCATTTTCAACCGAATTTAGAAGCTTCTCATTGGTTCCTGCTTGGTGTAACGAGTTATTATCGTCTACCTAAGCAACAATAAAGAAATATATATGTTCTTTTTTGCACACGTACAGTGGTTGGAAGTAATTCAATTACAAGTAATTCATTACTGTAATTCGATTCCGTTTCAAGTAATGAGTAATTCAGTATTCAGTTACTTTTACAATTACTTTTAACCCAAATACTCCAAAACATTGTTTGTTTTTCGCTACGAATCGTTTACTTGATCTTCTGGGATTATTAAACCTGGTTCGTCCCCACAAAGAGAAGATTAACCCAATAGGGAGTTAAAATCTAAAACGAGTTTAGCACAGAATTTGTTAAGAAACCAGGTAACCATAATATACATAAGCTCTTTATCATTTTAAGGGTGAGCTAAAGCATATTCCAGCATACGGAAATACATATAAACTTCTACCCCAGTTTTTTCAAAAAGGTACATTAGTAGAAATTGTATTAAAAAACCCATTGCGCTTTACAGAAATAAAATAACTAAGCAAACAGGGACAGAATATGTAAAATTTGTGGTCAAACAAACTTTGGCCATTTTTCTGGTCCACTCATCTATAACAGGTAACCGATAGCATATAAGTAAGTTCGTAATGTTTCCAAATTTTTACCATTTTTTGTAAACGTTAGTCACCAATACTACTTGCTAAGATAAAACGAATTTTGGCAAATGACATGTCCTGTAAAAAAGGAGAGGGTGGGTGGGCGGGGCTAGTAGTTGCTAAGATAAGAGTAATTTTGGCAAATAACATACCCGCAAAGAAAACAGCGGGTGGGTGGGCGGGGCTAGTACTTGCTAAGATAAGACTGAACAATCATGATACAATAAATACTAGGTATGATATTGCGCACGTACGGAGTGGGGGAGTGACGTCACTCGGTGAGTAAGTGTGTTTTAATAATTTTATAAAGTCACGACGATGCGTTGTGGCGGTTTTGGGTGTAATAGCGATAAACAATCAAGACATTTCAAAAAGACATACAATTTTATTCGTTTCCAAGGGACAAGTATGGGCTATTTCTGGTTGTCGTTTGGACTCTTTTATAGTAAAAAATGCAAGAGTGTGTTCACAGCATTTTAGTGAAGACGATTTTGGACGAAATTTGCAACACGGACTTTTGAATTGTCTTCCTAAAAAAGAAAAAAAAAACTAAAGTCTGGAAATCAGCCACGTTAGTTAAAGAAATTTGTTCTAGGGATGAAATCGCGAAATTAAGTAGGTTATTTTACTTGAATATTGATATAAATCGAACAAATTCAATTTAAAAAAAATGTTCACAAAGAACATCTTATATGACTCTGAAGAAATGCGTCAAAATTAAGCACAGAAACTTTATCCTGAGAAATTTTTCTATAAGATTGACACCTCTCAAGGCCGATTAAGCCGCACTTTGATAATCTTAGACACCTAGGACGGTCAATTTGGCAACGTCTAAGTATTTCAAAAAAACCAAGAAGGGTATTTTGTTTTTCTCGATTATTTGAAGGAATGCGTGAAAATTAAGTATAGAATGGCAATCCTGAGAAATCGTCCAATAAGATTCATACTTCTTAAGGCCGATATGTAAAATTTAATAATTTTGGAAACAATTGTTTTTCTCGAATATTTGAACAGATAATAAAACACAAACACTACACTGAGAAACTTTCCAATAAGATTGACACTTCCCAAGACCGATTAGGCCGCACTCGGATGACCTTAAACATCCCTACGATCGATGTCGGAACGTTTTAACAATTCAATACATTTTCCGATAAGATTGATACTTTTTAAGGTCGATTCGGCGGATTTTAATGATCTTGGGAAAAAAATTCTTAACTATTAGGAGAAATACGTCAAAATTAAGCACAAAAACGTTATCCTGAGAAATTTTTAAATTATTTACATCTCTTAAGACCGATTAAGCCGCATTTTGAGAATCTTAGACACCTAGTACGGTCAATTTGGCGACTTTTTAATATTACAAAAAAAATCAAGGAAGACAGAAAATTTTGTTTTTCTCGATTATTTGAAGGAATGCGTGAAAATTAAGCACAGAATGGTAATCCTGAGAAATCGTCCAATAAGATTGATACTTCTTCAGGCCGATACGCAAAAGTTAATCATCTTGGCAAAAGTTGTTTTTCTCGGCTATTGGAGGAGACAACCAAACCCAAACGCTTTCCTGAGAAACTTTCCAATAAGATTGACACCTCTTAGAGTTGATTAGGCCGCATTTTAATGACCCCAGACAACCATACGATCGAAGTCGGAACGTTTTAATAATGTAACAAATTTTCCGATAAGATTGATAAGGTCGATTCGGGGGATTTTAACGATCTTGGTAAAAAGATTCTCGGCTATTTGAAGAAATGCGTCAAAATTAAGCACAGAAGCTTTCTCCTGAGAAATTTTTCGGTAAGATTGACACCTCCTAGGGCTAATTAAGCCGCATTTTGATAATCTTAGACACCTAGAATGATTAATTTTGCGACTTTTTAATATTTCAAAAAAAATCAAGGAGGGCAGAAAATTTTGTTTTTCTCGATTATTCGAAGGAATGCGTGAAAATTAAGCATAGAATGGCAATCCTGACAAATCGTCCAAAAGACTGACACGTCTTAAGGCCGATACGAAAAATTTAATCATCTTGGAAGACGTTGTTTTTCTAGGGTATTTGAGGAGATAATCCAGCACAAACGCTATCCTGAGAAACCTTCCAATAACATTGACTCCTCTTAGGGTGGATTATCAGCATTTTGATGACTTTAGATACCGGTACGGTCGATGTCGGAAAGTTTTAAGAATTCAAAAAATTTTACGATAAGATTGAGAATTCTTAAGACTCATTCGGCCCATTTTAATGAGGCCGGGAAAAAAATTCTCAGTTATTTAAAGAAATACATCAAAATTAAGCACAGAAAGTTTATCCTGAGAAATTTTTCGGTAAGATTGACACCTCTTCGAACCGATTAAGCCGCATTTTGATAATCTTAGACACCTATGCTAGCACGGTCAATTTGGCGACTTTTAATATTACAAAAAAAATCAAGAAGGGAAGAAAATTTTGTTTTCTCGTTTATTTAGAGGAATGCATGAAAATTAAGTACAGAATGGTAATCTTGAGAAATCGTCCAATAAGACTGATACTTCTTCAGGCTCATACGCAAAACTTAATCATCTTGGAAAAAGTTGTTTTTCTCGGCTATTGGAGGAGGTAATCAAAGCCAAACGCTTTCCTGAGAAACTTTCCAATAAGATTGACACCTCTTAGAGTTGATTAGGCCACATTTTAATGACCCTAGACAACCGTACGATCGATGTCGGAACGTTTAAATAATGTAATAAATTTTCCGATAAGATTGATACCGTCGATTCGGCGGATTTTAACGATCTTGGTAAAAAGATTCTCGGCTATTTGAAGAAATGCGTCAAAATTAAGCACAGAAACTTTATCCTGAGAAATTTTTCGATAAGATTGACACCTCTCAAGGCCGATTAAGCCGCATTTTGATAATCTTAGACACCTAGCACGGTCAATTTGGCGATTTTTAATATTACAAGAAAATCAAGGAGGGCAAAAAATTTTGTTTTTCTAGATTATTTGAAGGAATGCGTGAAAATTAAGCACAGAATGGTAATCCTGAGAAATCGTCCAATAAGATTGATATTTCTTAAGGCCGATACGCAAAATTTAATGATCTGAGAAAAAGTACAGAATGGTAATCCTGAGAAATCGTCCAACAAGATTGATACTTCTTCAGGCTCATATGCAAAACTTAATCATCTTGGAAAAAATTGTTTTTCTTGGCTATTTGAGAAGATAATCAAGCACAAATGCTAGCCTGATAAACCTTCCAATAAGATTAACACCTCTTAGGGTCGATTAGGCCGCATTTTGATGACATTAGACACTCGTACGATCGATGTCGGAATGTTTTAAGAATTCAAAAAATTTTACGATAAGATTGACAATTCTTAAGGCTCATTCGGCGCATTTTAATGATGTCGGGAAAAAAATTTTCAGTTATTTAAAGAAATAGGGCAAAATTAAGCACAGAACTTTATCCTGAGAAATTTTTCGGTAAGATTGACATCTCTTAGGGTCGATTAGGCCGCCTTTTAATGATCTTGGAAACCCGTACGGTCGATTTCAGAACATTTTAATGATTCAAAAAAATATCCAATAAGATTGATACTTCTTAAGGCCAATTCGGTGGATTTTAATGATCTTGATAAAGATTCTTGGCTATTTGAAGAAATGTGTCAAAATTAAGCACAGAAACTTTATTCCGAGAAATTTTTCAGTAAGATTGACACGTCTTAGGCCCGATTAAGTCGTATTTTGATAATGTTAGACACCTAGCACGGTCCATTTGGCGACTTTTTAATATTACAAAAAAATCAAGGAGGGCAGAAAGTTTTGTTTTTCTTGATTATTTGAAGGAATGCGTGAAAATTAAGCACAGAATGGTAATCCTGAGAAATCGTCCAATGAGATTGATACTTTTTAAGGCAGATATGCAAAATTTAATGATCTTGGAAAAAGTTGTTTTTCTCAGCTATTTAAAAAGTTCATCAAGTACAAACGCTATCCTGAGAAACTTTCCCATAAGATTGACACCTCTTAGGGTCGATTTCGGAAGATTGATACTTTGTAAGGCCGATTCTGCGGATTTTAATAATCTTGGAGAAAAAAAATTCTCGGCTATTTGAAGAAATGCGTCTAAATTAATCACAGAAACTTTATCGTGAGAAATTCTTGGATAAAATTGACACCTCTAAGGGCCGACTCGGCCGCATCTTAATAATTTTATACGTTTTAGTTTAATTTGGGAACGTTTTAGTAATTTAAAAAAATCAAAGGGTGTAGAAAAATTTGTTTCTCTCGACTATTAGAAGTGATACATCAAAATTAAGCATAGAATCGTAATCCTGAGAAAATTTCCGACAAGATTGATCTTTTTTAGGGCCGATATGACCAGATATTAATGATTTTGGAAAAATTTGTTGTTGTTCTCGGCTATTTACGGGGAGGCATGAAAATTAGGCACAAAATGATAATCCTGAGAAATTTTCCAATAAGACTGACATCTCTTAGCGTCAATTAGGCTGCATTTTGACGACCTTAGACACACCCGTAAGGTTGATTTCAGAACGTTTTAATAATTAAAAAAAAAAATCCAATAAGATTGATACTTCGTAAAGACGATTCGGCGGATTTTAATAATCTTGGAAAAAAAAAATCTCGGCTATTTGAAGAAATTGACGTATTAATTAAGCACAGAAAATTTATCGTGAGAAATTTTTGGATGGGATTGACACCTTTTAATAATTTTAGACACCCCGCACCATCATTTTTGGAACGTTTTAGTAATTTAAAAAATCAAAGGGCGCAGAAAAATTTGTTGCTCTCGAATATTTGAAAGGATGCATGAAAATTAGGCAGAAAATGGTAATCTTGAGAAATTTTCCAATAAGATTGACATTCTTAGGGCCGATGAGGCCAGATGTTGGTGACCTTGGACACCCGCACGGTCGATTTCAGAACGTTTTAATAATTCAAAAAATTTTTGGATTTCGGCTATTTGAAGAAATGCGTCAAGATTAAGCACATCAGAAACGTTACGCAGACAAATTTTTCGATAAGATTGACACCACTTAGGGCCGATTTGACCGCATTTTAATCATCCAAAAAAATAATATTTTTTTCTGGGCTATCCGAAGGAGATTCCCCAGAATCATGCACATAAACGTTATTCTCAGAAATTTTTCGATAAGATTGACACCTGTTAAGACCGATTAGGTTTCATTTTGATGATCTTAGATATCTCGCTCTGTCGATTTAACAACGTTTCAATAATAAAAAAAAATTAGGCAGGGCAAAAAAAAAATTTTCTAAACTATTTGAAGGGATGTATCAAAATTAAACATAAAATGAAGCAGAAAATTTCCGGTAAGATTGATTCTTCTTAGGGTCGATTCAACCACATTTTAATGATATTCGACGGCATTTTAATAAATGTAGAAAACAAAGTTTTTCTGGGTTATCTGAAAGAGAATCATCAAAATTAAGCACATTAACGTCATCCTGAGAAACTTTCCAATAAGATTGACATTTTTTAGGGTTGGTTGGTAGTATTATGATGATCTTAGACACCTCGCGCTGTCGATTTAGGAACGTTTTAATAATTGAAAAAGAAATCAAGGAAGGCAAAAAAATTTGTTTTCTCAGCTATTTGAAGGGAGGCATGAAAACTAAGCACATAATGGTAATCTTCAGAAATTTTCCGATAAGATTGATACTTCTTAAGACCGATTCGGCGGATTTTAAAGATCTTGGATTTGTTGCAAAATTAAGCACAGATAATTATATCCTGAAATTTATTGGTAAGATTGACACCTCTCAGAGTCGATTCGACCACATTTTAAAAATTTTACACAAACTCGACATATTCTACCCTCCTCGATCGGCAACAATGTTTGTATTTCTGGCACATTTTTTAACCTTCAATTTAATAAAACATAACTTAACGAAATAAGTTCAGGGAATTTTTATTCTTCTGGATCGAATACCAACAAACTCACTAGATTTTCATGGCCAACCCTACTGTATAAAGATTGTGAACGGATAATACACGTAGTCAATAAGATAGTCCCACCAATGCAAGTTTTTGTTTGAAAGTTGTTGCAGTTGACATCTTTGACCCTTTTGGACCCATACAACAAATTCTAAAATTGCGTCTTCATCAAATTTTTCAAAGTGCAACAAATAATTGTTAAAGTAATGCATTACTTTTTAAAGGTAACTCTTCCAATCACTGCACACGTAGGTACCTACCAGTCTGAATGAACACCAATCCATGTGAAACCCAGAATTTCTGAACAGTCTCTCCACTTTCGTTCGTTTGAAGTCTCTAGGACATGGATAAGTCTTCCACAAGGGTCTGACTTCCTCCTGTAGCTCAGTTAGTTCAGACGAAAACGGCGCCTGACTACCTAATCTTAAAACAACTCTAAAATCCACAATTATTTTTTTTTTTGTAAAAATGGGACTACAATTACCCTTCTCCTTCTGACGGATTAAGCGGCTTCCGCGCCCCTAAAGTGATCGCCGACGACAAAAAAGTCACATAGAGATCACTCTGACTATCCTTCCACAACACTTTCCTAAATATATCCTTCAAACTCTCCATACGTTCCACTTCAAACATATTATCCACATCCAAATTGTCGATTTTGATGTGTACTTGATATTTAGCGGGGTTGAGCTTCTCGGACACGTGTATATTGATGTGTTCGTGCCTCGTTTCATAATTTTTTCGATTCAAAGCTATCACTTCAAGCTGGATTTTGGCATTGTTTTCATTGGGTGGCACCCCAAATAAAAACCCGCAGTGGTGCTCCCTGCTGAAAATATAGTTTATCCATGAGGGTAAATCGGGGGCGTTCAGGAGCGACGGCTGGTAAACAAACTGATCAGGTTTGCCTTCGTACGTCCAGTTGAACATGGGCGGGTTCACCACGATTTCGAAAACTTCCGTCATTAAAACATTCTCGTCTTTAGCAAAAGCGGCACTTAAAGACGAAATTAATACGTAGAATAGCATTGCAGCCGTGTTTGCTACATTTATTTAATCGATACGTGTGAAGTAAAGATTTATTTTTAAATTTGTGATGGTGGCGCCATCTGACAAGTCTGATCAGGGGCGCCAACGTAACTGTCACGTAGTGCCAACCACCGTACTTTTTTTTTAAACATCAACACAAACTTTTTATAAAATTGTCAAAAAAAAAATGATTTTCGTGGTTGAAGCTGTGATAACCGATTGTGTGAGTTTCAAAACTGAGTGAAAGTAACTATTTGTGCGATTAAATTGTTTTGAGTTACATAACCTCTAAAAATTAACCCTACTTTTTTGTGCAAGATGTTGCAAACCGGACGACAACTCCGCAGGCTTTGTGCCGCCGCACAAAGTTTGTCTTTGAATCCGCCGACTTTACTGACCCGAAGGGGCTTAAAATTGCAGCAACACAGGTTCAAAAAGAACGACAGTACGATATCGCAGTTGTTCGTTCCGGTGCCTGTGAAGCCCAGTCCCGACGATATTAACGTGGGGGCTGAACTCACCGGCTCTTTAAACAAAGCCGACTTGCTTAAAGTGTTGAATAAGTTTTACCAGAAGAAGGAAATCAAGCAGTTGCTTTCAGAAAATGGACTTGACAGTAAGTGTGCAGCGGGTTGAAACTTAATTTTGATTAATTTTGCTAGATTATTTGCAACACCAGGCGTACGTTAGCTTTCGACGTTATTGTCTAGAAGCGCAAAATCTGCCTGTGGACCTCCACGTTGTGATAAGCGATATTTTACAAGGCGCGGGAAATGTTACTGATATTTTTCCCTATTTCTTGCGCCACTCCAAACAGATGTTTCCGCATTTGGAATGTATGGACGACTTGAAAAAGATATCGGATTTGAGGACCCCGGCGAATTGGTATCCTGAAGCGAGGGCTCTTAATCGGAAGGTGGTTTTTCATGCAGGTCCTACTAATTCAGGGAAGACTTATCATGCGCTTGAAAGTTTTATTACGGCGAAGTCTGGTGTTTATTGCGGGCCTTTGAAGTTACTGGCGGCTGAAGTCTTCAATAAAACAAATGCTAGAGTGAGTAACGTGGTTGAAGTAGAATTTTTAGATTGTGGAGTGATTTTAGGGTACTCCATGTGATTTAGTAACGGGAGAAGAAAGGAGGTTTGCGGATCCTTCTGGAACTTCGTCGTCGCATGTGGCTTGTACTGTTGAAATGACTTCCGTAAATACTCCATGTGAGTGTTTGTTGCGATGTCTAGGGTTTGAATTCGTTTTTTTTTTTACTTTTAATCGAGTACGTGGAAGATTTTTTTGTAAAGCAAGTATTATTTGAACTGAAGTTACCAAGAAAAAACTTTTTTTCAGGATGGTTAAAATGCTCCGAATCGGCTCTAAGAAGTGTCAATCTTATCGGAAAGTTTCTCAGGATTGTGTTTCGATGCTTAATTTTGATGCATCTCTTCAAATATCTGAGAAAAACATGTTTTTCTAAAGTTATAATGCAGTCAAATCGGTCCTAAAAGGTCTCAATCTCACCGGAAATTTTCTCAGGATTACGATTCTATACTTAATTTTGACGTATCGCTTCAATAGCTGTGAGAAACAAATTTTTCTGGTTTCTTTCATTTTTTTAAATTACTGAAACGTTCCTAAATCAATCGCGCGAGTTTGTGTAAAATTTTTAAAATGCGGTCGAATCGACTCTGAGAGGTGTCAATCTTACCGATAAATTGTCTAGGATAATTTTGATAATTTCTGCGCTTAATTTTGACGTATTCCTTCAAATAACCGACAACAAATCCAAGATCTTTAAAATCTGCCGAATCGGTCTTAAAAAGTATCAATCTTATCGGATTTTTTTTTTCAATTGTTAAAACTTTAGCAATCTTAATCGGCCCTACGAGGTGTCAATCTTATTGTAAAATTTCTCAGGATAGCGTTTGTGGTTGATTATTCCTTCAAAAAGCCGAGAAATACAACTTTTTTCAAGATCGTTAAATGTTGCACATCGGTCGCAAGAAGTATCAATCTTATCGGACGATTTCGCAGGATTACAAATAATCGTGAAAAACAAATTTTTCTGCCTTCCTTGATTTTTTTTTTGGATTATTAAAACGTTCCCAAATCGACAGAATGGGGTGTCTAAGATCATCAAAATACGACCTAACCTACTCTAAGAAGTGTCAATCCTATCGGAAAGTTTCTCAGGATAACATTTCCGTGGTTAATTTTCATGAATTCCTTCAAATAGTGGAGAAAGATATTTTTTCAATCAATCTTATCGGAAAATTTCTGAGAATTATCATTTTGGATTCAATTTTGATACGACCCTTCAAATAGTTGAGAAAAAATTTTTTTTGCCCTGCCCATTTTTTTTTAATTATTGAAACGTTGTTAAATCGACAGAGCGAGATGTCTAAGATCATCAAAATGAAACCTAATCGGTTCTAACAACTGTAAATCTTCTCGGAAAATTTCTCAGAAAAACGTTTATGTTCATGATTCTGAGGAATCTCCTTCGGATAACCAAGAAAAAAGTATTATTCTTTTTTGTGTAATTAAAATGCGGTTTAATCGGCCAGTCTTATCGGAAATTTTCTCAGGATCATGATTTTGTGTCTAATTTTGATGTATCGCTTCAAATAGCCGTGAAAAACAAATTTTTTGCACAGTTTGAATTTTTAAAATTACTAAAACATTCCCAAAATGGGGTGCGTGGTGTGTAAAATTATTAAAATGCGACCGAATCAGCCCTAAGTCGTGTCAATTTTATCGAAAAAGTTGTCTGGGTAACGTTTATGATGTATTTAATCTTGATTATTATAAGATTATTAAAATCCGCCAATCGGCCTTAAGAAGTATCAATCTTTATTGTATTTTTTTTTTTATTATTGAAACATTCTGAATCGACCGTACTGTTATTCAAAATGCGGCCTAATCGACCCTAACAGACGTCAATCTTATTGGTTACCATTCTCTGCCTAATTTTCATGCATCTCTTCAAATAGTTGAGATAAACAAATTTTTCTGCAGCCTTAAATTACTAAGACGTTCCCAAAATAATGGTGCGGGGTTTCTAAAATTATTAAAATGCGGCCGAATCGGTCCTAAGAGGTGTCAATCTTATCCAAGAATTTGTCAGGATAAAGTTTCTGTGCTTAATTTTGACGCATTTTTTCAAATAGCCTACAATTTTTTTCGCCAAGATAATTAAAATCCGCCGAATCGGCCTTAAGAAGTGTCAATCTTATTGAACGATTTCTCAGGATTACCATTCTGTGCCTAATTTTCATCCCTTCAGTTAGCCGAAAATAACAAATTTTTCCAAAATCATTAAAATGAGGTGGAATCGGCTCTAAAAGGTATCAATCTTATAGGATTTTTTTTTTAAATTATGAAAACATTCTGAAATCGATTGTACGTGTGTCAAAGGTCATCAAAATGCGCCCTAATCGGCCCTAAGAGATGTCAATCTTATTGGAAAATTTCTCAGGATAACCATTCTGTGTCTATTTTTCGTGCATGCTTTTAAATAGCCGAGAATAACACATTCTTCAAAAAATATTAAAAGTGCTTCAAATTGGCCCCAAAAGGGATCAGTTTTGTCAGAAAAAAAGAAACAATTTTTTCTGCCCTCCTTGATTTTTTTGTAATATTAAAAAGTCGCCAAATTAACCATGTTTAATCGGCCCTAAGAAGTGTCAATCTTACAGAAAAATTTCTCAAGATAAAGGTTCTGTGCTTAATTTTGACGCATTTCTTTAAAGAGCTGAGAATTTTTTTCCCAAGATCATTAAAATGCGCGGAATGAGCCTTAAGAATTATCAATCTTATCGTACAATTTTTTGAATTCTTAAAACGTTCCGACATCGACCGTACGGGTGTCGAGGTCATCAAAATGCGGTCTAATCGGCCCTAAGAGGTGTCAATCTTATTGGAAAGTTTCTCAGGATAGCGTTTGTGCTTGATAATCTATTCAAATAGCCGAGAAAAACAACTTTTTCTAAGATCATTAAATGCTTCGTATGGGCCTTAAGAAATATCAATCCTATTGGACGATTTCTCAGGATTGCCATTCTGTGCTTAACTTTCACGTATTCCTTCAAATAATCGAGAAAAACAAAATTTTTTGCCCTCCTTGATTTTTTTGTAATACTAAAAATCGCCAAATTGACCGTGCTAGGTGTCTAAAATGATCAAAATGCGTCTTAATCGACCTTGTCAATCTTATCGGAAAATTTATTACATTATTAAAACGTTCCGACATCGATCGTGGGGTTGTCTAGGGTCATTAAAAAGCGGCCTAATCAATTCTAAGAGGTGTCAATCTTATTGGAAAGTTTCTTAGGAAGGCGTTTGGGTTTTGATTATCTCCTTCAATAGCCGAGAAAAATAACTTTTTCCAAGGTGATTAAGTTTTGCGTATCGGCCTGAAGAAGTATCAATCTTATTGGACGATTTCTCAGGATTACCAATCTGTGCTTAATTTTCAAGCATTCCTCTAAATAAACGAGAAAAACAAAATTTTCTTCCCTTCTTGATTTTTTTGTAATATAAAAAGTCGCCAAATTGACCGTGCTAGGTGTCTAAGGTTATTAAAATGCGGCTTAGTCGGCCCTAAGAAGTGTCGATTTTACCAAAAAATTTCTCAGGATAACGTTTCTGTGTTTAATTTTGACACATTTCTTCAAATAGCTAAGATTTTTTTTCCTAAGATTTAAAATCCACCGAATCGGCCTTAGGAAATATCAATCTTATCGGAAAATTTATTGAATTATTAAGACCTTTCGAGATCGACCGTACGGGTATCTAAAGTCATCAAAATGCTGCTAATCGACCCTAAGAGGAGGCTATCTTATTGGAAAGTTTCTCAGGATAGCGTTTGTCCTTGATAATCTCTTCAAATAGCCGAGAAACACCATTTTTCCAAGATCATTAAATTTTGCGTATCGGTCTTAACAAGTATCAATCTTATTGGACGATTTCTCAGGATTCCCATTATGTGCTTAATTTTGATGCAGTCCTCCAAATAATTTAGAAAAACAAAATTTTCTGCTCTCCTTGATTTTTTTGTAATATTAAAAACTCGCCAAATTGACCATGCTAGGTGTCTACGATGATCAAAATGCGGATTAATCGTCTTAAAAGGTGTCAATCTTACTGGAAAGTGTCTCAGGATAAAGTTTCTAATGCTTATTTTTGACATATTTCTTCAAATACCAGGGAAGTTTTTTCCGAAGATCATTAAAATCCTCCGAATCGGCTTTAAGAAGTATCAATCTTATCGATTTTTTTTTGTAATTCCGATATCGACCGTACGGGTGTCGAAGGTCTCAAAATACGACCTAATCGACCCTAAGAGGGGTCAATCTTATTGGAAAGTTTCTCGGAATAGCGTTTGTGCTTGATTATCTCTTCAAATAGCCGAGAAAGACAACTTTTTCAAAGATCATTAAATTTTGCGTATTGGCCTTAAGAAGGATCAATCTTATTGGAAGATTTCTCAGGATTGCCATTCTGTGCTAATTTTCACACATTTTTTCAAATAATCGAGAAAAACAAAATTTTCTATCCTTCTTGATCTTTTTTTTTTGTAACATTAAAATGTCGCCAAATTGACCGTGCTAGGTATATAAGATTATCAAAATGCGGCTTAATCGGCCTTGAGAGTTGTCAATCTTATTTTTCAGGATAAAGTTTCTGTGCTTAATTTTGACGTATTTCTTTAAATAACTGAGATTTTTTTCCCGACATCTTTAAAATGCGCCGAATGAGCCTTAAGAATTCTCAATCTTATCGTAATTTTTTTTTAATTCTTAAAACGTTCCGACATCGACCGTACGGGTGTCTAACGTCATCAAAATGCTGCTAATCGACCCTAAGAGAAGTCAATCTTATTGGAAGGTTTCTCAGGATAGCGTTTGTGCTTGATAATCTCTTCAAATAGCCGAGAAAAACCATTTTTCCAAGATCAATAAATTTTGCGTATCGGTCTTAATAAGTATCAATCTTATTGGACGATTTCTCAGGATTCCCATTATGTGCTTAATTTTCACGCATTCTCCTTCAAATAATCGAGATAAACAAAATTTTCTGCTCTCCTTGATTTCTTTGTAATATTAAAAAGTCGTCAAATTAACTGTCTAAGATTACCAAAATGCGTCTTAATCGGCCCTAAGAGATGTCAATCTTACCGAACAGTTTCTCAAAATGAAGTATTTAATTGTGCTTAATTTTGAAGTATTTCTTCAAATAACCGAATTTTTTTCCCCTGAATCATTAAAATCCTCCGAATCGGCCGTAAGAAGTATCAATCTTATAGGAAAATTTACTGACTTATTAAAACGTTTGTACATCGACCGTACAGGTTTATCAAAATGCGGCCTAATCGACCCTAAGAGTTGTCAATCTTATTGGAAAGTTTCTCAGGATAGCGTTTGTGCTGGATTATCTCCTCAAATAGCCTAGAAAAACAACGTCTTCCAAGATGATTAAATTTTTTGTATCTGCTTTAAGATGTCAATCTTATTGGACGATTTGTCAGGGTTACATTCTGTGCTTAATTTTCACGCATTCCTTCAAATAATCGAGAAAAACAAAATTTTCTGTCCTTCTTAATCTTTTTGTAATATTAAAATGTGACCAAATTGACCGTGCTAGATGTCTAAGATTATCAAAATGTGGCTTAATCGGCCCTAAGAGGTGTCAATTTTACCGAAAATTTTCTCAGGATAAAGTTTCTGTGTTTAATTCTGATGCATTTCTCCAAATAGCCGAGAATTTTTTTTTTCGAGATCATTAAATTTCGCCGAATCGGTCTTAAGAAGTATCAATCTTATCGGAAAATTTATTGAATAATTAAAGTGTTCCTACATCGACCGTACGGGTGTCTAAGGTCATCAAAATGCGGCCTAATCGACCCTAAGACGCGTCAATTTTATTGGAAAGTTTCTCAAGATAGCATTGTTCTTGATTATTTTTTCAAATAGTCGAGAAAAGGAACTTTTTCCAAGCTCATTAAATTTTTCGTATCGGTCTCAAGAAGTATCAATCTTATTGGATGATTGCACAGGATTACTATTCTGGGTGTAATTTTCACGCATTCCTTCAAATAATCTAGAAAAACAAAATTTCTTTGGTTTTTTTTGTAAAATAAAAGTTGCCAAATTGACCGTGCTAGGTCTCTAAAATTATCAGAACGAGACTTAGTCGACCATAAGAGGTGTCAGTCTTACCGAAAATATTCTTACGACAAGTTTCCTGCGCTTAATTTTGACGCATTTCTTTAAATATCCGAGAATCTTTTTACCAAGATCATTCATATCCGACGAATCAGCCTTAAGAAGTATCAATCTTATTGGACGATTTCTCAGGATGACTATTCTGTGCTTAATTTTCACGCATTCCTTCAAATAATCGAGAAAAACAACATTTTTTCCCCTCCTTGATTTTTTTGTAATATTAAAAATCGCCAAATTGACCGTGCTAGGTGTCTAAGATTATCAAAATGCGGCTTAATCGGCCTTGAGAGGTGTCAATCTTATCGAAAATTTTCTTAGGATAAAGTTTCTGTGCTTAATTTTGCCGCATTTCTTTAAAAAGCTGGGAATCTTTTTACCAAGATCATTCATATCCGACGAATCAGCCTTAATCCATCTTATTGGAAAATTTCTCAGGATGGCCTTTGATTATTTCCTCAAATAGCTGATATAAAGAACTTTTTTCAAGATCATTAAATTTTTCGTATCGGCTTTAAGAAGTGTCAATCTTATTGGATGATTTCTCAGGATTACCATTAATAATTTTTGACGCATTCTTTTAAATAATCGAAGAAAACAAAATTTTCAGCCCTCCTTGATTTTTTTGTGTGTTAAGATCATGAAAGTGCGGTTTAATCGGCCCTAAGAGATGTCAATCTTATTGGAAAATTTCTCAGGATTACCACTGTGTGCCTAATTTTCATGCATCTCTTCAAATAGCCGAGAACAAATTTTCCAAAATCATTAAAATGTAGCCGAATCGGCCCTAAAATGTATCAATCTTATCGGAAATTTTTTCAGAATTACTATTTTGTCCCAAAAACGTACCAAAATTAATGTGTCAGTCCCACCTACGATCTCACAGTCCTACACAAAGTCCCAAAAATCCAAATGTCACAATGTATATGATGACGTAATAAACAAACCGACGGGATTGACCCTAGCAATCTTACATTTCCAGACGAAGTTGCCGTAATCGACGAAATCCAAATGGTAAAAGACCCTCAAAGAGGTTGGGCATGGAGTCGAGCATTCCTCGGCTTGATGGCCGAAGAAATCCACCTATGTGGTGAGGCAGGCGCCATCGACCTAATCAGCCAACTCTGCCTCACCACAAACGAAGACATGGAAGTGAGACACTATAAAAGACTGACTGAATTACATATCGAAGATTCAGCTTTAGGTAACTCTAGCCAGACCCGACACACTCACAAATACACCCTGATCACTTTCAAGGTAGTTTAGACAATGTAATGCCCGGCGACTGTATCGTATGCTTCAGCAAAAACGACATTTACTCAGTATCCAGAGGCATAGAGGCCACCGGTAAAGAAGTGGCCGTAATTTACGGGGGCCTACCACCCGGGACGAAATTAGCACAGGCGGCAAAATTCAACGACCCCGACAACAGCTGCAAAATTTTAGTAGCCACAGACGCAATCGGAATGGGGCTGAATTTGTACGTTGTTTTGACTTAAGTAATTCGTTTGACTTAATGCGTAATTGTAGGAGTATACGGAGGATTATTTTTTACTCTTTGATTAAACCGACCATGAATGAGAAAGGTGAGAAAGAAATGGACACGATATCAGTGTCTGCAGCTTTACAAATCGCTGGAAGGGCAGGCAGGTGGGATTTGTGTTTTTAATCATATCATAGCAGTGACAGTTTTATACTTGTAGATATGGAACTCAGTGGGAAAAAGGTTCCGTCACTACGTTCAAACCTGAAGATTTAAAAACCCTGCGTACGTTGTTAGAGTCACCTCCTGAACCCATAGTTCAGGCTGGTTTACACCCAACTGCCGAACAAATCGAGCTTTATGCGTACCATTTACCGAATTCGACCCTCAGTAACTTGATGGATATTTTCGTCAATCTGTCAACTGTAGACGACTCTTTATACTTTATGTGTAACGTGGACGATTTTAAATTTTTGGCCGACATGATTCAGCATGTGCCTCTACCTTTACGTGCCCGCTACGTCTTCTGTTGCGCCCCTATTAGTAAAAAAATGCCGTTCGTTTGCACCATGTTCCTTAAATTTACTAGGCAGTATAGCAAGAACGAGGCAATCACGTTTGATTGGCTCTGTCGTAACATCGGGTGGCCTTTGCAGCCCCCTAAGACAATCATCGATTTGGTTCATTTAGAGGCCGTGTTCGACGTGCTCGACTTGTATTTATGGCTGAGTTATCGTTTCATGGATTTGTTTAACGAGCCCGATTTGGTGCGCGATATGCAGAAGGAGTTAGATGTGATAATTCAGCAGGGGGTGATCCAGTTAACTAGGTTGTTGCGGAATTCGGAGACTGGGGTTAGTTCGGGGGCTCGGGCCGCCGACGAGGATGAGTTTGCGCTGAACAGACAAAAACAGTCGTATTTAAGAGGTGTTTATTGACTTATACAAATAGTAGCTATACATAACAGGTTTTCGTTACAGAACCAAAGTCTTTGATAGGCAGAGGTAGATTAACTGAACGACTCTTAGCGCAGGGGATTTTGACACCAAACATGTTGCACGAGTTGAAGAAGGAATGGAACAGAGACGGCGACGGCGACGACGACGGCAACGAGCCGAAGAAGACGAGAAGAAAACGAAAAACGAAATAGGAATGTCGGTTTTACATGTTTCTAAAAATTTTATTTTTACAAACATTTATCTATACTAGAAAAGAAAATTGTACATTTATTTGTGCTTAAGTGGTGATCGTTCGTGACGTCATTCCTGGAGGTCAGTACAGTTTGTTATTTAAGCCACTGTTATAATGAAATATAAAAATAGATACAAAAACATGATTTATTTTCAATTATTTACATGAAACATTAAGCGAATGAGTCTACAAAATGACCGTTATGGATATAAAAAATCATTGACTATGTACAAAAATAGGATTAATATCTTATCTTTAAAATTTGTACTAAACGTTCTTTACAATAACGTGAAGAGGGACGATCTAACACTAAATGATTATGTGCATCAATTAGTGGCGACGAATTGGCAGTTTAAGACGATTATTGATTTGCTTACGTTATTTTTTTAAGGAGTGGTACGCGGGCTTGTTGTGGAAAAGTGGGCGAATTCTCATTTTAATTAATTTCACTTAACACAAAAAATCGAGACTGTTTGCCTATAAATATTAATTAATTGCGGTCGCCAGACGTATAAAAACCACGGTGATGAAAGTTTAATGCGAGTATCAATTTTTTAATGCTGGTAACAAAATCGTAGCTGAGGCTGTGAATGTGTTGGTTTCAATGGAGCCCAAAAGTGCGACCCAGAAAACGTTTTGGTTTACAGTTGGCTGCGAGCAAAAGTTTGGTTGGCATCATGATTTTACAGCAATGAATGACAAAATTATTTCAAATTGTTTTATTGTAGTATTTAATTGTATTTTTATGGATTGATGTTTATTAAGATTTTAAAAAATGTTTGACAAGGATTGAGCGCTTAAAAGTGGCGTGCTAATTTTTTCGATCAAGTTAGGCAATAGCACCGCAAAAAAAAACCTCAAAATTGATTAATTCTATCGCCAGAACATGTCTGAAATACCACTTAATAGAAATAAGTCTTCCAATATGTCAGAAAGTTTATTTTTAAAATAATGATATTAGCATTGCAATTATTTGACAGTCTACTTGACAGTTATTTAATTGTCAAACTGAAGGAACGTGTTGGTATTGCCAACATTATAATTTTAAAAATAAATTTCATGAGGACTCTTTTTTCGATCACATGGTAACACTTTTTTTTTAAGATTCTAAAAAATCGCAATAGGATTTTTAAAATTTTTCAGTTTTTCGATTTTCCAACTTTTGATTACATATTTCAATTTTTTGTTTGTCAATTATATTGATTTTTCATTTTTCATGTCTCCAAATTTTAGATTTGCAATTTTTCGTTTCGGTTTATTTTTTTAATTTCCCGTTTTTTCAATGTCCTGATTTTATAATTATGCGTTTTTCAATGGGAAAATTTTCAATTCGGATTCTTCAATTATCCGATTTGTTAGTTTTTCGTTTTTTCAAATTTTCGGTTCTTGAATTTTTTATTTGCAATTTTACGAATGGAATGATTTTTCAAATATTGTTATATCAATTTTTCGGTATTAATTTTTTCAGTTTCTCGATATTTCATTTTTCAATTTTTCGATCCTCCGTTGTTTTTCGACTTTACAGTTCTGACAATTCTATAATTTTTCGATTTTACAATTTTTGGGTTTTCGAATTTTTCGAGTCGATTCGTTTTTCTTTTCAATTTTGGGTTTTTTTAGTTCTTCGATTTGCAATTTTCCTATTTTGCAATTTTTCTTTTTTGCAATTTTTTGATTTGTCAATTTTTTAGTTTTTCGATGATGCAATTTTTCAATTTTTCGTTTCTACAATTTTTCAATTTTTCAGTTTCTTTATTTTTCAATGTTTCACCAAAAAAAAAAACAAATGTATTAAAACTGATATTTTGAAAATTGCAAAAAAAAGATTTTTGATTATTTTTCCTAAATATCGGAATATGGAGAATTCGAAAAATTTTAAAATCGAAAGATTTAAAAGAGAAAACTAAAAATCGGAAAACCAAAAGATCGAGAAATATAAGATCGAAAAATTGACTCTTGTACAAACTAAAAAATCGAAAAACTCGAAAATGGAAAAAATAAAAATTTGGAAAATTGAAAAATCGACAAATTAAAAGTAGAGAAACAAAAAACCGAAAATTTTTAAAATCGAAAACCGGTAACAACGAAAAATTAAAAAATCCAAGAATTGAGAAATCGAAAAATTGAAAAATCAATAAATTAAAAATTTTTGTTTCTCAATTATTTCGATTTTTCAATTTTTGATGTCTCCAAATTTTCAACTTGCAATTTTTCGTTTCGGTTTTTATTTTCTTTATTTTTTCAATGTTCTGATTTTATAATTATTCTTTTTTCAATAGGAAAATTTTCAATTTGGATTCTTCAATTATCTTATTTTCAAATTTTCAATTTTTTAGTTTTCCGTTTTTTCAATCTTTTATTTACAATTTTACGAATGGAATGATTTTTCAATTATTGGATTTTAAACCTTTTTCAATTTTTTAGTTTTTGTTTTTTCAGTTTTTGTTTTTTCAGTGTCCCGATATTTCATTTTTCAATTTTTCGATCCTCCGTTTTTCGACAATTCTATAATTTTTCGATTTCACTATTTTTGGGTTTACGAATTTTTTTAATAGATTCGTTTTTTTTTCAGTTTTTCAGCTCATTAATTGTTTTCGATTTTTGGTTTTTCAGAGTTTCAATTTTTCGTTTTTTTGTTTTCGAATTTCGCAATTTTTCAATTTTTCCTTTCTATAATTTTTCGATTTTTCACATTTTCGATTTTTCAGTGTCTTTATTTTTCAGTGTTTCACCAAAAAACACAAATTTATTAAAACTGATATTTTCAAAAATTGCAAAAAAATATTTTAGATTATTTTTCCTGATGGACTGTATAAAATCTACAATTTTAAATATCGGAATATGGAGAATTCGAAAAATTGAAAAATCGAAAGATTTAAAAGAGAAAACTAAAAATCGGAAAACTGAAAGATCGAGAAATTGAATCTTGTAAAAATTGAGAAATAGAAAAACTGGAAAATGGGATAAACAAAAATTTGGGAAATTGAAAAATCGACAAATTAAAACTAGAGAAACAAAAAACCGAAAATTTTTAAAATCGAAAACCGGCAAGAACGAAAAATTGAATAATTAAACACTGAGAAGTCGAAAAATTAAAAAATCTAAGAATTGAGAAAACGAAAAATTGAAAAATCAACAAATTAAAAATTTTTGTTTCTCAATTATTTCGATTTTTCCATTTTTCATGTCTACAAATTTTCGATTTGCAATTTTTCGTTTCGGTTTTTATTTTCTTTATTTTTTCAATTTTTCGGTTTTTCAATGTTCTGATTTTGTAATTATTCTTTTTTCAATAGGTCCGATTTTCAAATTTTTGATTTTTTAGTTTTTCGTTCAGTTCTTAATTTTCTTTATTTTTTCAATTAGTCGGTTTTCGATGTTTCGGTTTTGTAATTTCTTGTTTTTTTGAATTTGAATTTTTTCAATTATTGGATTTTAAACCTTTTTCATTCATTCAATTTATCAATTTTTCATTTTCTTTTCAGTTTCCCGATATTTCATTTTTTTTTCGGTTTTACTATTTTTGGGTTTTCGATTTTTAAGTTTCCCGATTTTTAGTTTTTCATTGTTCGAAATTTTCGTTTCTTTAGTTTTCCGATTTATAATTTTCCTATTTTGCAATCTTTCGTTTTGCAGTCTTTTGATTTGTCATTTTTTTCTGATTTTTTAGGTTTTCGATTTTGCAATTTTTCAATTTTTTGATTTTCACATTTTCGATTTTTCATTTTCTTAATTTTTCAACGTTTCAGCAAAAAAAAAGATTAATACCGATATTTTGAAAAATTGAGATTTTAGATTATTTTTCCTAATGGACTGTATAAAATCTATAATTTTAAATATTGACAGATTAAAACTAGAGAAACAAAAAACCGAAAATTTAAAAATCAAAAACCTGTAACAACGAAAAATTGAATAATTAAAAACTGAGAAGTCGAAAAATTGAAAAATCTAAAAACTGAGAAATTGAAAAATCGACAAATTAGAATCATTTTTGAATTTTTAAATATTCGAATCAAAAAATGAAAAACTTCGAAATTGTAAAATAAAAAAATCAAAAGAAAAACAAGAAAGTATACGACGAAAAATTTGGAAAATCTGAAAATTGGAAATGAAGAACTTGCAAAATTGAAAAATAGAAAGATTAAAAATTGAGAAAATTAAAAATCGGAAAATTGAATAATTAGAATTCCAAAAACTGCAAAATTGGAAAATTTAAGAATTGTAAAATCGAAAATTGAAAAATCAAAAACTGAATAAACGAAAAATTATAAAATCGAAGTAAATTCTGAAAAAACAAAGGAAATGAAGAAACGAAGAATTGTGATATAAAATCGAGAAAATGAAAAATAAAAATCAAGAACTTAAAAAACTGACGAGACGAAAATTTTAAAAATCTAAAAATTGAGAAATCGAAAAATTGAAAAATCGACAAATTAAAAATCATTTTTGAATTTTTAAATTTTCGAAAAATGAACTTCGAAATTGTAAAATTCAAAAATCAAAAGAAAAACGAAAAGTATAAGACGAAAACATTGGAAAATCTGAAAATTGGAAATGAAGAACTTCAAAAATTGAAAAAACGACAAATTGAAACATGGAAAGACTAAAAATTGACAAACTTAGAAACCGAGAAAGTGCGAATTATTGTAAAATTGAAATATTGTAAATTAAAGAAATCGAAAAATCGAATATTTGAGAAATCCAAAAACGGCAAAATGGAATGAGAAACTGAAAAACCGACAAAATGAAAAACTGTCGAAAAAATTGCAAAATTGAAAAATTTCAAATCGAAAAATTGAAAACTTTGGAAGTCGAGAAATTGAAAAGTTGAGAAAAACGAAAAATTATGAATATGGAAAAACTGAAAAATTAAAAACACGAAAAAACGAAAAATTGCGATATGAAAAAATTGTAAAATCGAAGAAGGAAAAACGAAAAACGAAAAATTATTTGGAGTATATCATTATATATTCTTAGAGGGTATGCCAAAATCAGTCTTATCTTAGCAAATATACTCTAAGGAAATAGAGGGTGGGTGGGCAGGGCTAGTACTTGCTCAGATAAGACTGATTTTGGAAAATGACATAGAGTTTAAGAAAATTGAGGGCGGGTGGGCGGGACTAGTATTTGCTAACTTAAGACTGATCTTAGCAAATGATAAATCTTCTAGGAAAATAGAGGGTGGGTGGGCGGGGCAAGTATTTGTTAAACTAAGACTGATTTTGGCAAATGACATGTCTTCTAAGAATATATAATAATATAATTTTTCATTTTTCCTTCTTCGATTTTACAATTTTTTGATATCGCAATATACTTTTTTTCCGTAAACTAGCAACTATTCGGTGACTATTAATGCAGCAAATTTTTGTGTTGGTAATTCTGAAGTATTGGCAACTAGTGACTTGGTGTCGTAAATGTCACTTTGACAGTCAGGCCTGCCATCCTAATTTGAAAATGTTGCCAACCTGACAAAACAAAATAGAAACATTGAAATATGGAGTGTCGGACAAAATATGTTGTTTGCGTTGCCAACGTAACCTGAACTGGATATTAATGGCAATTATTTTGGTTCTTTTCACGATTAAATAACATTCATAAGTTGGCAGTATTGATATGTTTGATCCAGTTCGTTTCAGTACGGAAAACACTCGACGAAATTTCAGATTCACACTTGTTACACTCAAATAATGATATTTTGTCGTCGTCATGCACGTATTTTTCAATGTTTGCAACTTTGCGTTTATTTAAAAAGGATATTTATGGTCAATTAGTTTGTGAGTGAAAGCCAACTCTAAATCAAAATGTTATTAATTATTTGCTATATTATTTCGTCCAATAAATTTTCCGTTATGATTTATCAAGTTTCCGTTGTGTCCGGAAATTTACAAGCAAATAAGTATTTTTTTAAGTACAGTAAAGTGCGAGCTTCCACCCTACATTAGTTTTTACGTGACCCTCTCTCAAAGCAGTTTGGAAACTTTTTTGCTCCCAGCAGATGTTCTTTCCCAGGCTTTACGTATTGGTGGATATCCATTAGAGTTTCTTATAATTTACGCCCGAGTATGTTTATGCCAAAACATTCTCTCATTGTTGGTCGTGCACTTCCCGCGAATTAAATTTTCCCTCGTATCAGTTTCGCCCGAAAGGAAATATCGATTCGAGACAAACCATCTAAAAATACATTTTCAAAATAGATTTAGTGGTTTCAGTGGATGCATTTCAATTTTTGGCATGACCGCGATTTTGTTGCCAATCAAAACGGCGAAATTGAAATATCGCCCTTGTGAATTTTATGGGGGTCGTACGCGTTATTAGAGCTGTAAAAAAGAGATGGCTAAATTAATAGTCGGGGTGTTATTCTAATGACCTCACATAACGGCGAGTGATTAATATAAATTAGCCCGCATTACGACGTTTTTAACGTCAGATTTTTATCGTTAAGTACTACGTTAATTTACGATCCCTCTTCACCTTACGAAGAAAGCAACCCATGTCTGAAACGCTTCACTTCGTGGAAATTGTAAACGGTAACGAGCAGGGGCGCCGACTTAGCCTTGACGGGGCTCAACACGTGTTGTTAAGCCACGATGCGCCCGTCGCCGCCCCCGCACTCGGCGCCTATGGTAACGAATAAATTACAAAGGTAATATAAATAACAGCTATAAAACACAGTGACTAGAATAGAACGTCGGTGGATCGCGCCCTCACTTGTGCTGGAAGGCGAAATCCGCCCTCCTCGACTTGGAGAAGTGCTTGACCGTCAGCCGCCAGAAGGCTATTCTGAAATCGGGACTGTAGAAGGCGTAGATGAAGGGATTGATGGCCGAGTTGAACCAGCCCAGCCACGTCAGGTAGTTCATGATGAGCGCGTTCACCTCGGTGCTGGGGATGAAGGGCGTGAGGAGGTAGCAGATGAAGAAGGGCAGCCAGCAGGCGATGAAGCCGCCCATGACGATGCTGAGCGTCTGGGCCGTCTTGGTCTCGCGGCGGAAGGAGGAGACGCGCGTCGCGGGCTCGAAGTTGAGGGTGGCCGTCGCGTCGAAGTTGAGCGACTCGGGCCGGGACCGCTGAGGGGTGAACGACGGCGGCCGGTACAGGCTAGCGGAGCGCTGCGCCGTCAAGGGCTCGTGGTTGAAGGAGTAGGTCGACCGGATGGACCGGGTGCCCACGGATTTGCGCTGCTCGTGGTTGGCCTGGTTGAGGGGCTCGGCGGACTGGCCGCTGGAAAAAAATTACATTTGTTCTTGAGACACTAAAATTTTTTATAAATATATCACTATGATAAAAAATATTGTCTTGAAATTGTGTCATTTTGTTTGAGGATTTAAGGTGGATCAATTGATAACCTAATTGATATAATTATACGGTAATATAACTAATAAAATTTTATAACCTTGAAAATTTGAATTCTTTTACAAGATTTCCTTTATTGTGGCAGATTGCACATGTAGTGTGTAGTGGAAAGTGTTCTATTATATCTCTAATTTCCTCATTATAGTATAATAAAATTTTATTGGATGTGTAGTTTTGTGTTATTTTCCATGCCGTTTTGTTATTTAACCATATAATTTAACTTTTTGGAGATTTGTCTTTGATAGAATTTTTTGCTGGTCAGATTACTGTCAACTTTCAAAAATCCATAGCTGCCTTTGATCGTGTTTCTATTGCCCTCACGGTTTATACGAATTTTTAAAGAATGCCACAAAAGTTTATAAACATTTTAGAAAAAATATACTGCATGACAATAATAGTGTTTTTTTAACAATTAGAACACCATTCATAAGTAAAAAGTTGGTCTCATAAAAACCCAGTACATTTAATAGGTGCGACCTGTGTTCTAATAAATAATACCATTTGACCGAGAAAAAAAGTGTCTATCAACCTTTGAAATTTAATGTTTCAAAAATTATGTTGGCAGCATCAACGCGTTTTTTGTTGTTAATCAGTTTGACATTTACGATCAAATAAAGCGTCAAATAACTGCAATGTTATCAACGACGTTTTACTGCAAAGCCTACTTACCTCAAAATTTTGTTGAATAAATTTCATGGACGAGGGAAGTTTGGTCTAATATTTTGGACCAATTTTTTAACACTTAATTAACAAAGTTGGTTTTACAAAAAGCCAAGACATTAAATACGTATTTTTTGTATTATTATTTATCTCCGGAACGTAAGCTAAGGAAGTACTGTAATAAGGTTCATAAGGCAAATGGCTACTTTCATGTTTTTTCTACGTTTCATAACCCTAGAGTATGCAAAGGTAGGTCTCCTGTTGCCATCTGTCCGTCATCTGTCTGTATGTCGTCTCTTGTCTACGTCCGTCGATTTAAATTTCATAAAATATCATATTCCTACGCTTGTGGTGTATGAATCTGCCTTGATTTTTTACCCTAGACGTCCAGATTTTCGGAAAAAAATCAAAATCGTCGATTTAATTTAAAAACTGCAAAACCAAATGCTCTGAAATCTTGCGGCGGTTTTAAAGTTATCCTAAACATGGTAAATCGCTAATCAAAATGTATCTGTTCATTCCTTTCCAAAAATTTGATGACGTCATTTCGTAATTTTATTGAATTAAGGGAGATTCTGTTTAACACTTCTGAAATTTAGTGGTACAAAATTAAGTTGGCAACGCATCCTTCTTGGTAACCAATAAATCTTCTGCACGACTAAGATGGCCGCTGACTTAGTAGTACCAATCAAGTGAGAAACATGATAATATTTGCCATGACTAAAAATTAAGTTGGCAATAGCGAATCTTTTATACTAAGCACCACATTCGATTGGTGGATTTCGTGGCACCAAATTTAAAATGTGGAAAAATCAGCCCAAATGATTCATTGTTCTCAACCTAAGTACTTGCTAAGATAAAACTGATTTTGCAGATGGCATACCCTCTAAGAAAATAAAGGGCGGGTGGGCGGGCCTAATATTTGCTAAGATAACACTGATTTTGGAAAATGAGATATTTTCCAAGAAAATAAAGGGCGGGTGGGCGGGGCTATTACTTGCTTATAAGACTCTGCAGGAAAAAGTTAAATTTAGCCCCGCCTACCCACCCGTTCTCTAATTTTTACTTCTAAAATATGAAATAAATCTTAAAGTAAATAGTATAACAAAAATTACCGTTAGCCTTTTTTTTTAATAGCCCTACTTCCATTCTACAGAAGAACATATAATTAACCCCGCCTACCCACCCCGCCTCCTTTTCAGTGATTCATTTTTTCTGATCTGATAGAAAGTGAATCCCGTATTGAAAATAAATAAAATTAGTTCTTAGTACTAGAAGAACGTGGGTGGGTGGGTGGGGCTAGTACTTGCTGAGATAAGATTGAACAATATTCGGAGTACTCACTAGAATCAAGAGGAGGGTGGATGCTAATATAAGGCTGATTTTGGCATATAACACGCTTTAAGAAAATAGAGGACGGGTGGGCGGGGCTACTGCCTGCTTATAAAAAGCTCTGCAAGAAAAGTTTAGCCCCGCCCACCCACCCGTTTGCTCATTTTTCTTCTAAAATAAGACAAATCTTGAAGTAGGTAGTATAACAAAAAATTACATTTAACCATTTTTTTCTTGTTTAACAGCCCCACTCCCATTCTACAGAAGAATATATAATTAACCCCGCCCACCCACGCCGTCTCCGTTTCAGAGCTTCATTTTATCTGGTCTGATAGAAAGTGGATCCCGTATTGAACATAAATAAAATTATTCCTTAGTATTAGAAGAACGTGGGTGGGTGGGCGGGCTTAGTACTTGCCAAGATAAAGCTGATTTTGGCAAATGACGTAGTGTCTAAGAAAATAGAGGGTGGGTGGGCGGGACTAGACTTGCTAAGATAAGACTGAACAATATTCGGAGTGGTCACTAGAATGAAGAAGAGGAGGATGGATGGCCTGGCTATTGCCTGTTTATAAATGACTCTACAAGAAAAAGTTAAACCTAGCCCCGCCCGCCCACCCGTTTTAATTTTCCTTTTAACAAAAAATTACGGTTAGCCATTTTTTTCTTGTTTAACAGCCCCACTCCCATTCTACAGAAGAATATATAATTAACCCCGTCCACTCACCCCGTCTCCTTTTCAGAGCTTCATTTTATCTGGTCTGATAGAAAGTGGATCCCGTATTGAACATAAATAAAATTAGTCCTTGGAATGGGTAGAGCGTGGGGTGGGTGGGCGGGGCTAGTGCTTGCTAAGGTAAGACTGAACAATATTCGGAGTAGGCACTAAAATGAAGAGGAGGGTGGATGGGCGGGGCTATTGTCTGTTTATAAATGACTCCGCAAGAAAAAGTTAAACTTAGCCCCGCCCACCCACCCGTTTTAATTTTTCTTTTAACATAAGACAAAATCTTAAAATAAATAGTGTAACAAAAAAATTACGGTTAGCCTTTTTTTTCTTGTTTAACAGCCCCACTCCCTTTCTAGAGAAAAATATATAATTAACCCCGCCCACCCACCCCGCCTCCTTTTCATTGCTTCATTTTATTTGGTTTGATAGAAACTGGATACCATGCTGAACAGAAATAAAATTAGTTCTTGGAATGAAAAGAATGTAGCTAGGTGGGCAGGGTTAGTACTTGCTAATATAAGGCTGCTTTTGGAAAATGACATATCTCCTAAGAAAATAGAGGACGGGTGGGCGGGGCTATTGCCTGCTTATAAAAGGGCAAAAAAATTAAACTTAGCCCCGCCCACTCACCCGTTTTCTCATTTTTCTTCTAAAATAAGACAAATCTTGAAGTAGATAGTATAAGAAAAAAATACGTTTAACCATTTTTTTCTTGTTTAACAGCCCCACACCGACTCTACAGAAAAATATATAATTAACCCCGCCCACCCACCCTGCCTCCTTTTCAGTGATTCATTTTATCTGATCTGATAGAAAGTGGTTCTCACACTGACAGAAATAGAATTAATCCTTGGAATGAGAAGAGCGTGGGTGGATGGGCCGGCTTAGTACTTGTCATGATAAGACTGATTTTGGCAAATAACGTACTGTCTAAGAAAATAGAGGGTGGGTGGGCGGGGCTAGTTCTTGCTAAGATAAGACTGAACAATATTCGGAGTAGTCACTAGAATGAAGAGGAGGGTGCATGGGCGGGGCTATTGCCTGTTTATAAATGACTCCGCAAGAAAAGTTAAACTTAGCCCCGCCCACCCACCCCGTTTTAATTTTTCTTTTAAAATAACAAATAAATCTTAAAATAAATAGTGTAACAAAAAATTACGGTTAGCCTTTCTTTGCTTGTTTAACAGCCCGACTCCCTTTCTGCAGAAAAATATATAATTAACCCCGCCCACCCACCCCGCCTCCTTTTCAGTGCTTCATTTTATGTGGTTTGATAGAAAGTGGATTCCATGTTGAACAGAAATAAAATTAGTTCTTGGAATGAGAAGAAGGTGGGTGGGTGGGCGGGGTTAGTACTTGCTAATATAAGGCTGACTTTGGCATATAACATCCTTTAAGAAAATAGACGACGGGTGGGCGGGGCTATTGCCTGCTTATAAAAAGCACTGCAAGAAAAGTTTAGCCCCACCCACCCACCCGTTTGCTCATTTTTCTTCTAAAATAAGACAAATCTTGAAGTAGGTAGTATAACAAAAAATTACGGTTAGCCATTTTTGTCTTGTTTAATAGCCCCACTCCCATTTTACAGAAGAATATATAATTAACCCCGCCCACCCACCCCGCCTCCTTTTCAGTGCTTCATTTTATTTGGTTTGATAGAAACTGGATACCATGCTGAACAGAAAAAAAATTAGTTCTTGGAATGAGAAGAATGTAGCTAGGTGGGCAGGGTTAGTACTTGCTAATATAAGGCTGATTTTGGAAAATGACATATCTCCTAAGAAAATAGAGGACGGGTGGGCGGGGCCATTGCCTGCTTATAAAAGGGCAAGAAAAGTTAAACTTAGCCCCGCCCACCCACCCGTTTTCTCATTTTTCTTCTAAAATAAGACAAATCTTGCAGTAAGTAGTATAAGAAAAAATTACGTTTAACCATTTTTTTCTTGTTTAACAGCCCCATTCCCATTCTACTGAAGAATATATAATTACCCCCACCCACCCCGTCTCTTTTTCAGTGCTTCATTTTATCTGGTCTGATAGAAAGTGGATCCCGTATTGAACATAAATAAAATTAGTCCTTAGTATTAGAAGAACGTGGGTGGGTGGGCGGGCTTAGTACCTGCCAAGATAAGACTGATTTTGGCAAATAACGTACTGTCTAAGAAAATAGAGGGTGGGTGGGCGGGGCTAGTACTTGCTAAGATAAGAGTGAACAATATTCGGAGTAGTCACTAGAATGAAGAGGAGGGTGCATGGGCGGGGCTATTGCCTGTTTATAAATGACTCCGCAAGAAAAGTTAAACTTAGCCCCGCCCACCCACCCGTTTTAATTTTTCTTTTAAAATAACAAATAAATCTTAAAATAAATAGTGTAACAAAAAATTACGGTTAGCCTTTCTTTACTTGTTTAACAGCCCGACTCCCTTTCTGCAGAAAAATATATAATTAACCCCGCCCACCCACCCCGCCTCCTTTTCAGTGCTTCATTTTATGTGGTTTGATAGAAAGTGGATTCCATGTTGAACAGAAATAAAATTAGTTCTTGGAATGAGAAGAAGGTGGGTGGGTGGGCGGGGTTAGTACTTGCTAATATAAGGCTGACTTTGGCATATAACATCCTTTAAGAAAATAGACGACGGGTGGGCGGGGCTATTGCCTGCTTATAAAAAGCACTGCAAGAAAAGTTTAGCCCCACCCACCCACCCGTTTGCTCATTTTTCTTCTAAAATAAGACAAATCTTGAAGTAGGTAGTATAACAAAAAATTACGGTTAGCCATTTTTGTCTTGTTTAATAGCCCCACTCCCATTTTACAGAAGAATATATAATTAACCCCGCCCACCCACCCCGCCTCCTTTTCAGTGCTTCATTTTATTTGGTTTGATAGAAACTGGATACCATGCTGAACAGAAAAAAAATTAGTTCTTGGAATGAGAAGAATGTAGCTAGGTGGGCAGGGTTAGTACTTGCTAATATAAGGCTGATTTTGGAAAATGACATATCTCCTAAGAAAATAGAGGATGGGTGGGCGGGGCCATTGCCTGCTTATAAAATGGCAAGAAAAGTTAAACTTGGCCCCGCCCTCCCACCCGTTTTCTCATTTTTCTTCTAAAATAAGACAAATCTTGCAGTAGGTAGTATAAGAAAAAATTACGTTTAACAATTTTTTTCTTGTTTAACAGCGCCATTCCCATTCTACTGAAGAATATATAATTACCCCCACCCACCCTGTCTCTTTTTCAGTGCTTCATTTTATCTGGTCTGATAGGAAGTGGATCCCGTATTGAACATAAATAAAATTAGTCCTTAGTATTAGAAGAACGTGGGTGGGTGGGCGGGCTTAGTACCTGCCAAGATAAGACTGATTTTGGCAAATAACGTAGTGTCTAAGAAAATAGAGGGTGGGTGGGCGGCGCTAGTACTTGCTAAGATAAGAGTGAACAATATTCGGAGTAGTCACTAGAATGAAGAGGAGGGTGCATGGGCGGGGCTATTGCCTGTTTATAAATGACTCCGCAAGAAAAAGTTAAACTTAGCCCCGCCCGCCCACCCGTTTTAATTTTTCTTTTAACAAAAAATTACAGTTAGCCATTTTTTTCTGGTTTAACAGCCCCATTCCCATTCTACGGAAGAATATATAATTAACCCCACCCACCCACCCCGCCTTCTTTTTAGTGATTCATTTTATCTGGTTTGATATGAAGTGGATCCCATACTGAACAAAAATAAAATTAGTTCTTGGTATGAGAATAACGTGGGTGGGTGGGCGGGGTTAGCATTTGCTACTATAAAACTGATTTTTGAAAATGATATCTCCCAAGGAAATAAAGGGTGGGTGGGTGGGGTTAGTACTTGCTAAGGTAATACTGATTTTGGCAAATGACACCCTTTAAAAAATAAAGGACAGGTGGGCGGGGCTATTGCCTGCTTATAAAAGGCTCTGCAAGAAAAAGTTAAACTTAGCCCCGCCCACCCACCCGTTTTCTCATTTTTTTCTAAAGTAAGACATAAATCTTGAAGTAGGTAGTATAACAAAAAAATACGGTTAGTCATTTTTTTCTTGTTTAACAGCCCCACTCCCATTCGACAGAAGAATATATAATTAACCCCGCCCACCCACCCCGCATCCTTTTCAGTGATTCATTTTATCTGATCTGATAGAAAGTAGTTCTCACACTGAACAAAAATAAAATTAGTCCTTGGAATGAGAAGAGCGTGGGTGGGTGGGCGGGGCTAGTGCTTGCTAAGGTAAGACATTTTGGCAAATGAGATATTTTCTAAGATAATACAGGGTGGGTGGGCGGGGTTAAGTACTCGCTAACATTAGACTGATTGTGGCAAATATCACCCTCTAAGAAAGTAGATGACAAGACCAATTTGGTAAATGACGTACCCTTTAAGGGAATAGAGGTGCTCAATATGAAAAACACGAGAAAGTTGATAATTTGCAAATTTAATCACCCTGTATACATAATTGTTTGGTTTGTTACTCGTACTTTAAAGCAAAGGTGACTAAAAATATTGTGCAAATTGCAATCCTCCATTTTTAAAAATGGCTGAACTGATTTTGAAATATGAGAATTGTTTTCCTATAAAAAAACTGTTGATAAAAAATTGTTTGTTTTATTTGTCTAGATGTTGTAATAATCGGAAAAAACAAAAAATTCTCCAATAGATGACCTTTATTTTTCCGAAAACAATATCAACTTTTTTTTTCAAATAGAATGTAATTTTGTGTGATTTTTGAAATTTCTGCTCTAGTTGACATTACATTTTTTTCCGTTGGTTGGTACTACTGAATCGGTGGCTATCTTAATCGTGCAAGAGGTCTATTTGACATTTACGGTCAAATGCATGTCAAATAAAACGTCAAATAACTGTAGTACCAACATCGTTATTTTAAAAATAAGTTTCGTGTCGATCGAAATTACATATATTTAGTGAAAATTATATGCTTTTTGTTAACTTTTAACTTGTATTTTATATAAAAGTCAGACTTTCGTCATTTTTACTTTTCGATGGTTTGATCAGTTTGATATTTCTGGCCAAAGAAAATGTCAAAAAAATATAAATTTACTGAAAACTATATATTTTTGTGTTTTACATTATAACCATCTTTGTTATTTTATTGTTTCATATATACCATTCTATCGAACAAAACACTTCTCTAGTAGGCCGTGCAATATATTTTTAAAATAATAATGATGGCTTTACCTTTTTTTATTTGACAGTTAACACATTCGTGCTGCCAACATTGTTATTAAATTTTAAAAATAAATTGCACGCCCTACTGCATAACGTTTTTTTTTGGATCATATGGTAATGTTCATAAATCAAATGTATTATTATAAGAAAAAAAAGGGGGTTCCGAGTAAGCTATGTCGTCATAATCGTAAGTTATCTCTTGTGTATGTGTAAATGATGCGAATATAATTCGAATTATCTTAATTCTCTTTCCACAGTAGCCACTTTTATCAGGTTTTAGATTATTTGATAAACGATTTGATAACAATGACAAAAATAAACGTCTGCTAGTAATAATTCAAGAGAACTAAACCGAGTAAATCTGACTAGATCACTTAAAATATATTCATGCTATTTAAAACTTAATTGTTGATGTAGGTTCTCGTTATACTTTAGACTACTCTGAACACTTGTTTTTTTTTGGGGGTTATGATGTCATAAATCTTTTTTTTTTTAATTTTACACGAATATTAATAAGCAATTGTGGGAGTTTTTAATTATCCAAAAAGAAAAAACAAAAAAATTAAGAACCCGGAAGTAAAAAACAGGAAAATTAAATGTATAAAGCACGTTTTAATTAATGCGGAAATAGAAACCCCTACGCTTAATAACAACATTTTGAGAAAACGAACAACACGAAATTCGTTAATTAGTGTTGTGATGGATTTACACAAGCAAATTTATTTTATGAAATTAGTAAAACAGAAAATTATCTAAATTATTTATTGCAGTTGTAATGACGCTAATTTTAATTTTGACACATCGTGGTTAGTCATATCTGACGAACAATAATCCCTTCCAACTAAAATTTTAATTACTTTTACTGGAGATGTTTTTCAAGATTTACAACGTAATCTCCTAATGCTGTTTTGAGAAAAAATAAATCTCTTTTAATTGCGCTGAAAATGGAAAATAATCTCATTTACTTAGTTTGAGTGATCATTAACAGCGCTTTTAAATGAATTTATTTGATACAAAAAACTCCTAAGAAGTTTAATTATTTACTGGACTTTATAGTGTGAACGCTCATTATTCATTAATAGTCAGTTTTCAGCACTACCCCGAAATTCAATTGTTCTTGGAGATGTATTGTTCGATGATTTTCGAAGATTTATGACATTTTGTTTTTTCATTAATATTGTTCTCGCACTTTATATTAAAACATGCTAGAGTCATAAATTTGCCTTCTGTCAAAAATGAAATACTGAAAGAGAGGGAGGAAAATAGGGCGAGAATAGATTGCTTTATTATTGCTTTCAGATTGTTGAACCTAATAACGCAGTGTTAACATAAAGACCTACGTTTTAGATTTATTTTGCCAGTTGATGAATTCACTGTTTGTTTAACGTAATAATTATACCATGCGATCAAATACAACTGCTGTGTAAATGTTAACTTTAACCTCAAAATAACTCGAAACGGGCGTACCAACTCAAACTTTTTTAAGTAAGTGAACCCGGCGCATCCACCATTTTGACAAGTTAGAATGAAATAAATTCAAATCGAAATAATACAACCACTACACACTCATCTAGCTCCTAAAACTACTCCTAACTCTAAAAAGAAACTAAAAAACATTTACCATGCACTTATTTGTCGAAAGTACCTGGAACATCGAATGTTCTGTTCTTCGCACTCCGACGACACTCGATCTATATCCGACTCTTCTTTCACGCTGATGACGAGCTTCTGACTTTTCTGTAAAAAAACTTTTCACATCAAGCGAGTCAATCTAAAATACATAATTAAATTTTGCGGAGGGTCGACCGTCTTCCGAAGGATGTAAACTTTATATCGCTTATTAATACTGTTAGTAATGTCCCTGTGACCTGCGGTCCAATCCTGGACGGCACACGAGCATCGTAAAAGATATTTCTGTGGCAATATTAGCCGGCTACGATACGCAATTCAATAAAGTCCTGTTTGCGGGGCACGATAATAACATCATGCGTTCGAGGTTTTGTTAATGGTTTTCATAAATATAAAATAACTTCATTTATAATAATTCGGGGCTGTGGAGGCGTAGCTTAGATTAATTAATGCATTTGCTGTGTAATTAACTCGGAGGGGTTAATTACACGAGGCTAAAAATAGATCTTTTTTGAGGATGTTAAAGTTCGACTAAATCTGATTATTGATGTTTTGGGGCTATAAATAGGCGATTATTACAAGAATATTGTTAGAAGGAAATAAACAAGGACGTTGCGGAAATTATATGAAAATTGAAGTCTAGTGGTTAATTTGTAAGAACGAGAGGAGTAAATATCGTGTAATTTAGTGCCCCTTGACGACTTGTTTTCATAATTTTCGATTTATTGATTTTGGTGTTCGCGTCCGCCTATGACAATGTCCGGTGTGTTCGCTTCTGGAAAAATTGCTAAATGTACTTGTTGCCGACTGTTGGCACACTTCCCGTGAAATATGAAACCGTAATGTACAAAGTGGTGTTTATTCCATATTCCATTTTAGCCGACGACGCTGAAATGAAGAGCTAGCAAATCCGCCAAATTAAATTGTGACACTTTTTTAATTACTTTCGCATGGCGCGGACAGCCAGAAATGAGCGATTTATTATATCCCAGCCACCCTGTTAATTTTTTGCGGTTAGTTTCGGTGACAGATGTGCTATTTAGTCGACAAAATCAATTTCATCCTGGCCGCTGGAAACTTTTAAATGGAATCGTAATGGGCATTAAAGCTGCCTCTTTTCTCTCAAATTAAATTAGTATCCCAAATGATAAGCAAAATCCCACTGCGCGTCCGTGAAACCGCCCACGACGGATATTAAAAATAGTGCATAATAAAAAAAGATCATAAATCTCGCACTTTATGACGCATTTAGGGATGTAAAATAATCTTCGCACTTTATCGGGCCATTGTGGCCGCGGACGATGAACTAAAAAAAAATCATTCTTTGGCTATCTTATTCAAAACGTAGTTCTTTGATACGTTGGTGCTAAAAGCGACTAAACAATTTTTTCGCGACAGATACATTATAAAACAAAAAATAATCCCGGCGCTGCGTCGCGACGTGCTGCAGATGTTTTAAATTACTTTTTTTATTTTCGTTGACACGTCTCTTCTAGTACTCACCCTGGAGAAAGTGTCGATGTAGGGGGGTTTGTCGTGCCGCCGCATCACCACGCAGGATATCCGTACGTAAACGTACAGCATCACCATCATCGGGATGAAAAAGGAACCCATTGCGGAGAAAATCACATAACCGGTATTTTTGTTGTATCTGCAGATTTTCTCGTTGTGCCTACCCGGCTCGTACCTGGAAATAGAAATGTAATTGGGTGCTCATTAATTATGTTTATTCAGCCAACAATAAGCATTCTGTCGCTGTTGAAACGCTTTTAGGAGGATTAGGGGTTATAAAATCGCCGCTCGAGTATTGTTTTGATACTAAAGTGGTTCTCTCTTCACCTATTATTAGGATTTACGAGCGGATAAAAATACGTGGAGGCGGGGTGGTGTCTTGGAGGACTGGGTTTGCTATTTCTGATTTTGGTGGAAAATGGAGCTGTGGTAAGTCGGAGTAAAGTGGATTCCATAATAATTTTTTTAGCTTCTTGGATAAATTGGCAACAAAGACCGTTTAAAATACGAAAAAATTAAAGCTGTTTCTGGACTGAATTAATGCAAAAAGAGACTGTTAAACGATGTTCCTTAGGTAGCTTATAGCTATGAAACGAAAATGAATGAGGAAAAGATTATTGGAAAACCTTTGTGGAACATCCTTACTTTTTATTCTTTGGATTGTAAATAAAGCGATATTGTTATCATCTTGTTTACGCAGGAATTATTATGTATTTTCGCATGATAAATAATATTTAAGTAGGGAAACTTTCAGTTTTCAGTTATTTTTTGTTTCAGTGGTTAAAATTGCTTCAATCTACCGAAAATTGGCGTCAAATTGTAGATAATCTTCCGCTAATTACAAATCCGAAATCGCCGTCACGATATCTGTTCCAATAAACATAAAAGTGAATTCAAAATTTTCAAAAATTTTCCAAAAAAATGGTTAAAATTGGTTCAATTGACTGAAAATTGGTGTCAATTTGTGGAAAATCTTGCGCCAGTTACAAATCTGAAATCGCCGTCAATATATCAGTTCCAATAAACACGAAAGGTACATTCAAAATTTTCAAAAATTTTCCAAAAAAATGGTTAAAACTGGTTGAATTTACGGAAATTTGGTGTCAATTGTCCATGTTTTTTCAGTTTTGGGATTTTTCAATTTTTCCATTTTTTTATTTATCGATTTATAAATACATACTTCGTTGTTTTTTTGGTTTTGGTATTTTTCAATATTCGATTGTTGAATTTTTCGACTTTTCAATTTTTTGATTTTGTCATATCATTTATCGACTATCCAGTGTTTCAGTTTCGCGATTTTTCGTTTTTTTTCAGTAATTCAATTCTTCAATTTTTCGATTTTCCAGGTTTTTGATTTTCCAATTTATTGATATTTAAAATTTTTCGATTTTTCGATTTCGATTTCTACTTATCGATATTTTGACTTTTTCCGTTTCGTTGATTTTTTAATTCATCAATTTTTTGTTGTTTCAGTTTTGGGATTTTTTACATTTTTCGATTTATCGCTTTATCAATTTTTTGATAATTCAGTTTTGGGATTTTTCAATATCTAGATGCTTGAATTTTTCGATTTTTTGATGTTTCGAATTCGATGGTATTTCAAAATTTGTGTCAAATTGTAGATAGTGTTCCGCTAGTTACAAATCTGAAATCGCTGTCACGATATCTGTTCCAATAGCCACGAAAAGTGAATTCAAAATTTTCAAAAATTTTCCAAAAATATGGTTAAAATTGGTTCAATCCACCAAAAGTTGGTGTCAAATTGTAGGTAATATTCTGCTAATCAGAAATCTGAAATCGCCGTGTCGATATTTGTTCCAATAAACACGAAAAATGAATTTAAAATTTTCAAAAATTTTACAAAAAATGGTTAAAATTGGTCCAATCGACCGAAAATTCGTGTGAAATTGTTTATAATATTCTAGTAGTTACTAATGTGAAATCGCCGTCACGATTTCTGTTCTATTAAACACGAAAAGTTTTCGAAAATTTTCCAAAAAATGATCAAAACTGTTTCAATCAACGGAAATTTGTTGTCAGATTATAGACAATCTCTCAAATTTTCGATTTCTAAATTTGTCGATGTTTATTCAGTTTCAGAATTTTTCAATTTTTCCATGTTTTGATTTATAGATTATAAATACATATTTCGTTGTTTTTTTTTTGATTTTGGTATTTTTCAATAGTTCGATTTCTCAATTTTTCGACTTTTCGATTTTTTGATTTTGTCGTATCTCGATTTTTCGACTATCCAGCGCTACAGTTTCTCGATTTTTTGTTTTTTCAGTAATTCAATTCTTCAGGTTTTCGATTTTGCAGGTTTTTGAATTTCCAATTTTTTGATATTTAAAATTTTTAAATTTGTCGATTTCGATTCAACTTACCGATATTTCGACTATCCGTTTTCTCGATTTTTCAATTCCTCAATTTTTTGATGTTTCAGTTTTGGGATTTTTACATTTTTTGAATTATCACTTCATCACTTTTTTGATATTTCAATTTGGGATTTTTCAATATTTCGATGCTTGAACTTTTCGATTTTTGGATTTTTTGATATTTCGATTTCCTAATTTTTCACTATTTTGGTATTTTGATAATTTTTCGATATTTTAATTTTTAGGATTCTTAAATTTTAGATTTTTCGATTTCTCGATTAATTGATTTTTCGACTTTTCTATTTTTCAATTTTTCGAATTTTTAAATTTTCGATTTTTCGATTTCTCGATTTTTCAACTTTTCGATTTATCAATTTTTTGATCTTTTTTCAACTTTGGTATTTTTCAATATTTCGATTCTTCAATTTCATTTCCCTATTTCTTGAATTCCCGACTTTTCCATATTTCGATTTTTCGATTGTTCAGTTTCTCAATTCTTCAATTCTTCGATATTTTGAGAGTAATCAATTTTTCAATTTCTTTTTCTTAAATTTGCAATTTCTCATTTTTTTGTTTTTCGCTTTTTCGATTTGGCGATATTTCAGTTTTACGATTTTTTTTGATTATTCACTTTTTCGATTTTAAAATTTTTCCATTTTTAAAATTTTCAATTTTTGGCGTTTCTAAGTTTTCAATTTATCGATTTATAGATTAATAGATTTTTCGATGTTTCGGTTCCTCGATTTCTCGATTTTTCTACTTGCTGATTATTTGATTTTTTGATTTTTGCCCTTTCGCGATTTCTTGACTTTCCGTTGTTTCGATTTTTCGGTTTTGCGATTTTTTAGTTATTTAATTCTTCAATTTCTCGACTTTTTAGGTTTTGATTTTTTTTCCTGATTTTTTAAATTTTCAATTTTTCGATATTTCTACTTATCGACATTTCGACTTTCCGTTTTTTCGATTTTTCAATTTCTCAACTTTTCGAAGTTTCTGTTTTGGGATTTTTACATTTTTAGATTTATCACTATCAATTTTTTGATATTTCACTTTTGGGATTTTTCAATATCGCGATGCTTGAATTTTTCTATTTTTCGATTTTTCGGTTTTTTGACGTTTAGATTTCGATGGTATTTCAAAATTTGTGTCAAATTGTTCCGATAGTTACAAATCTGAAATCGCCGTCACGATATCTGTTCCTCCCCTAAACACGAAAAGTTCATTCAAAATTTTTAAAAATTTTCAAAAAAATGGTTAAAATTGATTCAGTCGACCGAAAATTCGTGTGAAATTGTAGATAATCTTCTAGTAGTTACTAATGTGAAATGGCCGTCACGATTTCTGTTCTAATAAACACGAAAAGTGAATTCAAAATTTTCAAAAATTTTCCAAAAAAGTGGTTAAAATTGGTTTAATCGATCGAAAATTGGTGTCAAATTGTAGATAATTTTTCAAATTTTCGATTTCTCAATTTGTCGATGTTTTTTCAGGTTTGGGATTTTTCAATTTTTCCATTTTTTGACTTATCGATTTATAAATACATATTTCGTTGTTTTTTTTGGTTTTGGTATTTTTCAATATTTCGATTGTTCAATTTTTCGACTTTTCGATTTTTTGATTTTGTGTCTCTCGATTTCTCGACTATCCAGTGTTACAGTTTCTCGATTTTTCGTTTTTTCAGTAATTCAATTCTTCAGCTTTTCGATTTTCCAGGTTTTTGAATTTCCAATTTTTTGATATTTAAAATTTTTTGATTTTTCGATTTCGATTTCAACTTATCGAAATGTCGACTATCCGTTTTCTCGATTTTTCAATTCCTCACTTTTTTGATGTTTCAGTTTTGGGATTTTTACATTTTTTGAATTATCACTTTATCACTTTTTTGATATTTCAATTTTGGGATTTTTCAATATTTCGATGCTTGAACTTTTCGATTTTTGGATTTTTCGATGTTTCGATTTCCTAATTTTTCACTATTTTTTAGGATTCTTAAATTTTAGATTTTTCGATTTCTCTATTAATTGATTTTTCGACTTTTCTATTTTTCAATTTTTCGAATTTTTAAATTTTCGACTTTCGATTTTTCGATTTCTTGATTTTTCAACTTTTCGATTTCTCAATTTTTTGATCTTTTTTCAACTTTGGTATTTTTCAATATTTCGATTCTTCAATTTCATTTGCCTATTTCTTCAATTCTCGACTTTTCCATATTTCGATTTTTCGATTGTTCAGTTTCTCAATTCTTCAACTCTTCGATATTTTGAGATTTCTCAAGTTTTCAATTTCTTTTTCTTAAATTTGTGATTTCTCATTTTTTTGGTTTTTCGCTTTCTAGATTTTGCGATATTTCAGTTTTACGATTTTTTTTTGATTCTTCAATTTTTCGATTTTAAAATTTTTCCATTTTTCAAATTTTCAATTTTTGGCGTTTCTAAGTTTTCGATTTATCGATTTCTAGATTAATAGATTTTTCGATGTTTCGGCTGTTCGATTTCTCGATTTTTCTACTTGCTGATTATTTGATTTTTTGATTTTTTCCATTTCTCGATTTTCCGATGTTTCTATTTCTCGGTTTTGCGATTTTTTAGCTATTCAATTCTTCAATTTCTCGACTTCTTAGGTTTTGATTTTTTTTTCCTGATTTTTAAAATCTTCGTTTTTTCGATATTTCAACTGTCCGTTTTCTCGATTTTTCAATTTCTCAATTTTTCGAAGTTTCTGTTTTGGGATTTTTACATTTTTCGATTTATCACTTTATCAATTTTTTGATATTTCAGTTTTGGACTTTTTCAATATCTCG